TGTATTCTTTCAAATGACATTGTTAAAAAAATAGCTTTGACAAAATCTTCTCGAGCCTAAAACTTACCGTATTCGGTTTTTTATGAAAATCTTCGCATCATAGTTTATCTATGATGCCTTAGTATAGAATCCATAACATAGAAAACTCCATTGGTCATCAACTACGATTGCTATCTAGATTTGATAGATCTACTTGATGCTATTGAAAAAAATCAAGCGTACATTTTTTGTCACACTTTTCCCCAGAATCTTAGAATGTCAGATTCGATACTATTTCAAAATACTGACGTAAAACTATCTGATCATAAATTAGAAAATTTTTATGTTTAGTGTATTGCTTTGTTTGTTGCTTGTCTCTGTCATGATCTTGATCATCGTGGTAAGACAAATGCTTTTATGGTAAAAAGTGCATCCACATTAGCTTCAATTTATACAACTTCAACTATGGAACGACATCATTTTAATCAAACAGTCACAATACTTCAAGTAAAAAAAGATAGTTTGTTTCATATAAAGAACTAATTTAATTTCTTTTCTTTGCTTATTACCTTAACTATTTTAGACTGAAAGTCTTAATATATTTAAACACTTTTCTTCCAAAGAATATCGACAAATGTTAGATGAAATTCGTCATTGTATATTAGCTACTGATCTGGCACTTTTTTTTGAAAATCGTCCTAAACTTGAACGTATTGTTGATAATAATGAATTCGATTGGAATAACAAGGAACATTTGTGAGTTGCTAAATTAATCTATTTTCCATATGATGACCAACAAAAAAAAACAAGGAATTAATTTTTTTTAAAATTTGCTGCTACTGATCACCCTTTGTTTTTCTTCTATCTCCTCTAATCCTCTGTTGCTAATTGTGTTCGTGTGGTGATAGTGCCTATTTCTTGTGTCATTAGTTTTTTGAGTGTGTGTGAAATTTACACACACGTATTTTACACTTATCATAGTTTGACACTTGTGAACAAAACTATAACTAAAAAAACGAAGTATTTACTGGATAATGAGTAACATACACATTTTCCCCCTTTTTTTTTGATTTTATTTCACACATTATTCTTCTGATTGCTGTGCTTTTATCTATAGGCTATACGTGATGGGGCTCAGTATGACCGCTGCTGATTTATGTTCTTCATATAAACGATGGGAAGTGCAGCGGTCGAATGTGAGCATCATCATGGAAGAATTCTTTCTGCAGGTGATTTCATTGTTTCATACTTCTCGATGCTTTCTTTGTCTTTTTTCCTCTCTCTGTGTGTATATTTATTAATATTTCACAAGAAAGCAGCACTTATTAACTGAAATACATATCAATATTAACCCAATCACTATCACCACCAGCACATTACTTGAGGAGAGGAAGAAGCGGCTAATGAAAGCTTTTATTCTTCTTTACTGTTTTTTATTTCAATGTACAAAAAGACCAAAAAGAATCTTTTCCATTGCACTCACAGAAAAATCCACTGTACTTTGATGCTCCATTGTCTGTATTTATGTCTTTTATGCTTCCAGTCGACGCTTGCAATCATTATCAATGACATCTGCCGACTTATGCGCCATGTATAAACCGTGGCATATACAACAAAATATTGTCAGCGTTATTATGGACGAGTTTTGGGAAGAGGTGTGCTTTTTATATGTATTTGTAACTGCTGCTTTCTGCTAACTAATAATAATTAGAAAGAGAGAAATATGAAATTTGTTTCTTATTTTTATTATTATATTTTGTTTTCACACAGGGTGATGAAGAAAAACGTAAAGGTATTCAACCACAATCATTAATGGATCGATCACTTGCACATGAGTTGCCAAAAAATCAGGTAATTTGGTCTTTTTTTCGAGACAGTAAGCTCTATTATGAAATAATAAACTAACTGCTAGTCTCTCAATTAAAAAAAACCATTCCAAGCTTTTAATTAGGTCCTCTAAGTAAAAAGGTCAGTTTTTGTTAGAACAATCGATATTGAGATAAATGCATGAAAAATAGCCAGAAGCTTGATCTTGCATAAACAAATCGTTTTATATTGGGCATCTTGTTTTCTACCAAAAATTTTTCATGATTTCAATCAATATCTGCTTGAGGTTTTTCTTCACTGTTTTGATTGCACATTCCAGAATTCTCATAGGAGCTTAACTGTAGCTAAAGGTGATTGCTTTTATTTGAAAAAGCATTTGAAGCTACAGTGACTGGTAGTGTCTATTTTTTGAATTAAACTTTTTCAATATGATACAAAAAAACACTTCTGTAAATTAGAGCGCCATTTCTATTGAATATTTTTCGAGACATTGAGCTTGGCATCTTCTTTTGTTCTCATAAAGAATAAGAATTTAATAACCAGAGCTCTACCAGACCCAAGAATCTGACATATTCTTTCAAATGAAAAATAAAATTAACTATACACAAGAAGAGATCACCGAGAATAAGTGAGCTATTTTGAGCCTTGTTTGTTGAATATCTTCCGAAAATATCATGATATAGAGTTGTAAATTTTATACGATCTGAATGCATTTGGTCTAAGATCGATTTTTGAGGATGACTTAAATTGTCGATATAAACATGCTTCCGAGAAGAAAACAGCGGATTTCAAGCCCGAAGACTTACTGTCTCTCTCAGATGCGACTCACGTCTTGAGAATAAAGTTGATCTAATGAGGTAACCTATGTTAACTCGAGGGTAGGCTCAATATTTTTTTAGATCCTCATGCGTATGTTAAAATAAGAGAAGGCGAGGGTTCGAATGTCACTTGGATGAAAGATAGTTAGTGTCTCTTCTGTCAAACTCACACCTTGCAATGTGTAACAGTCATCAAGATCAAAAACATTCACAACTTATGAAAAAACAACGTGCGAATGTTTATATTCATCAAAATGTAACCTTCGAAAGAAAAGATTGTGATATGGTTTGCTGAAAAATAAAGTTTCATGATGAAGCAAAAAAGTTTCACAAAAAAAAATTTTCACTTTGAACTTCTTCACTGTTGTAAATGTTTAATAGACATATAACCCAAGTTGCTAGAGGTGAAAGAAAATTTCATCAGATGCTACCTAATCTAACTTAGATTTTTCGTAAAGTTCTACTTCAATGCACTGATGATGTACACTTCTACAGTTACCTTAATGTTTTCTCAAAAATATTTCTAAGTTCGCTTGATTAAAAATATGTTCTTATTATATGCCGAAGGCGACAAATAATATTAGCATTTGTACCAAAAAATGTAATGCGCTGCCCAAATTTATTAATCTGATGGAAGGAAAAAAGTATTTGAGTCTACCCTAGACTATGAAGCGTGAATTAATAGTAGGCTTTCGTTTTTTCCAAGCCTTTTGACTTCATCGCCTATGCTTATTGAACACCAGTTGATAGTAGACAAAATGCAGGCTCATCGTGTAACAAAGCGTCGTTTGTCTGAAGAGAATGAAAACCAAGCAGTAATAGAAAAAATTAACAATAATTACTGCTTATGCAAAACTTTATCTGTCCTATTGCCATGGCTAAGTGGTTATGTTATTTGATATATGTTCACAAGGTGCTGTGTCCAAATCTGAGTATCATTACCGATGGAATGACCTTGGACAAGTTACTAACAATTGTTTGTTTTGGGTGATCCGTCCAATAGCATGCAGCCTGCATTGTGCCATACGCATGCTTTTGTAGCTATCATGTGTTCAGGAAGTATGCATGGGAAGCTCGAGTCATTAAGCACAATAGCTCTGTGTTAGGTCGGCCTTTTATACAGAGTTACAGCTAGTATTAGTTATAAGAAATATATTGAGCTATTCAATCTGCCACTAGACAACACTCTGATCTCCAAGCTTACTTAAAGATGGAAATATTTTTCATTTCTTTACTTATCCTAGCGCTAATCTACTCAGACCTTGCGGTCTCATTGTCTATAATACTGATTACTTGCAATATTTTGTCGTTCGAAATTTTGATAGGCAGATAAGGATAAGGTTTTGGAATTAAAACTCAGTTAAAACATGTTCTTATTTAATATCTAATAAATTTCTTTTTAATTTTGTTTCCAGGTGAACTTTATGAAAAGCATTTGTATACCGTGCTATTCATTAATAGTACGCGTCTTGCCAGAAACAATACCAATGCTTATCGGAGCCAAGTATTAATAAATATGAAAGGATTCTTTTCTTATAATTTGTGCTTGTTTTCTTTCTTCAGAAGTAACCTTCAACGATGGCAAGAGTTAGCTGATGAAAAACAACAAATAACTCGTACGAATTTAACTGCTATATCTTCTGGTAAAACATCAGACGATACATCTGATTCTTCTCGAACTTCTTCAGCTAACAAGACTCGTCAGCCAGCATCGTCGTGATATGCTTTTGTTTCTCTCGAACGGTTTGTTTTTGCTACAAAAGAAATAAAATATTTTCAAAAAAAAAACAATGTTCGTGTGTATTTTATTCTCTCGTTGTTTTTGTGTTCATTTTCTTCCTTATTATTTTTTTTCTTTCTTTTTTTATATAAACAACACAAAACAATGTTGATTTAAGGCTTCTAACTGCATCATTCTCCAAAAATGAACGTATTCTTTATTTTCACATAGAGACAAATGACAATGACGATACATCTTTTCTTTTATGAAAAAACACACAAACGCAAATGACTAAATACATGTTATGTATAGTGCGACAAGAGAAAGAAAAAAGAAACGAAGAGAAATAAGAAGACAATGTTTTGTTTCCTTTTCATCAAAGAATTACTGAAATAATAATAACAACAACAACAAAAACAAAACAAACAAAAGTTGTCTAATATAATTTTATTTTTTTTTTCAAATATGTCAATATATGCGTATGCGTGTAAGAGAGTAGAGCAAAAGAGGGAGAAGGAGATATGCAATAGTGCGGAATTAGTCAGCACAAGAGAAATGATGCTTAAAACATCAAATAGAGCAGAAAAGAAAAAAAAAAAAAGAGAAGCAAAATAAGAAAACAAAAAAGAAAGAAAGAAAAACAAATAAATGAATGTCTATGATGACGAAGGTTCATCATTATCATCCATATTTCTTGTCGATGGTGGTGTGCGTAAATCGACAAGACCTTTTTCACGTATTACTTTTAATGCAGCCTGTTCAGCAGCACGTACAACATCTTCACTATGATCAACTAATGATATTATATTAACACCATCCCATTGAACACCACATGAATTCAATAATTCATGAACCTTGAATTAAAAATTCAAACAGATAAATCATGAATTCTCTTATGTAATTTTGTAATAAAAAAAAAAAAAACTTGTCATCACAATCTTAAGTCCGTCGGAACATTCCAAGTCGTGCCGAAAATTTTTGGAATGTATCTCATGGGGTTCAAGACTGGCAAACAGTTTGTCCCAGAAGACTCTATGAAAATTTGTTCAGGGCTAAAAAGCTTTATTTTTGTCAGCATTGTTCCTATTCATTTTTTTCTTTGAATTTTTGTTTTCCGTTTTTCTTAATTTAACATCATTATTCTAGCTATTGGCTTAGCTGGCGGAGAAGCCTATTGTATCTATCCATCATGTTTATACTCAGGTCTCAATACACTATTATATATCTCAATGAGCTGAAGAAAAACAGAGAAGGCTTTCAAATATTTTAGAAAAGTCTAAATCTTGGGTGTAGATGCTTGAGTCCCACTAAAAAAGGGTACTATCTGGATAATTTTTAAAAGTAGGGAGGGCTACTTTCTGTTAATGAATTTCAGAAACAGGGAGGCATCATATGTCTCCTCCCAATATAAGTTATGCCTCTGAGAAAGACGCGACAAATTGTTTACATAAGAAAAAAATCAAAATCTTACATCACTGTCTGTAACAGGTATTTCTTGTGTTCCACCTGATGTTGTTTCAAGTAACATTCGTACATCAAAACCAGCTGCTTGTTCATCATAATGTATAGCTGGATGTTTACCACGATAAAATAAAATTCTAGCTCGTTCATTTGCTTCACGCCAACTAAGACCACGAGCAACACGATGTGATGATGAACTACTATTCATTGTTTGATCCCCATTTACTGATGTTGATAAAAACCGTGAAGATTCATCATTTGAATGTTTTGATGTTCCATAAGCACCTGCACGTGGTGGTAATGAAACATACATTTCTTTAATAACTAAAGCTAAAATATAGGCAAAAAAAAAAAAATATGAAAATGATTTTCTTCAAAACAAAGAAAAATTACGTTTTCCATCTAGTCGATCTCTCATTAAAGTTTGTACTTCTGGTTTATCAATATCATCAAATTGATTAGTAGCATGTGCTTGTTCAATAACATCAACGATTTGTTCAATTAATTTTTCATGATTATGTTTAAAATCTTTTTTTAATTTATCTTTTAAATCATTGTAAGTTTTAAATTCTCCGATTTTTTTTTCTTCTAAATAATGAAATGTTTTATTAACATATGTTTCAATTTGATTTTCATTATATAATGGTTTATTATAATCATATAATAAATTTGTTATTGATGAAATAATTTTCTTTCGATTTGTCTGTATATTTTGTTTAGCACGTTCAGTTAATAATGATGATGCGCGTCGTTTTCCATTAGCACTAATAACATTAATTGATGTTAATTCTTGTTGATTTGTATTTGGTGATTGTTGTAATAATAATAAACCATCTTTTTGTGCTTGTTTTATTAATTCAATTGAACGATCACATAAATCATGTGCTTTAGAAAATTCACGTCGTAATTGTGAATTTAATTCATCCCATGAATATATTAAATTTAATGACAATAATTCTAATGCACGATTTAATATTTTTTGTAATTCTTTTGTTTGTTTTTTTGTTATTTTTTTCGTTTTTAATTCATTGTCAATTAAATATTGATTTAACCATTGTAATTGATTAGTTTTTAATAAATTATATTCTTCTGTTGTTAATAAATTTGTTTGATTATATACTTGATTATATAAATTAGCTGTCTGTGTTATATTTGAATCTAATATATCAAGATTAATTTTTTCATTCATTTGTGTTATATCACAATGATCAAATGTATCACGTATGATATCAATTATTGGATCAACAAGATAAAATGTCTGTTTATATTCGGTTTTTAAATCATTACGAATTTGTTCATAAGAAAGAATTTTTGGTTGATTTAGAAGTGTTAAACTTTTACGAATTATTTTATCGATTTCTTTTGAATGTTCAGAAAACAGTCGTATTGATGGTTGACTTGATTGAATATGATCACGTAAAATATTACCTAATTCATTACGATGTGTATTTAATTGTAAACGACGACGTTCATCAAGTAAACCAGTATTTGTTGTTGTTGTGCTTGTTGTTTTAGGTGTTGTTGATGAAGTTTTGTTTTTCGATTTTGAATGACCACATGTTAAACATGAAGTTTTTTTCGACTGATCTTGAGATATTTTAGTAGGTTCTCTATAGTAATAATAAGAAAAAAGCTTTTAGTATAATTCCTTCGGGACTGAAATATGAATATATTATGTAGCTGCTATTACTAATCATAAGGAACTTGTTTTATTCGATTTATTTTTTGACACATTTCTTTACCATCGTATATTATTTAATTCACCACAAATGCAATAAGGAAGTAGTTATTAAATTATAGCGAGAAGTTATTCATTTACGATCTGTAGTCGTCTATCAATAACATCCATCATGACAGACAGACAGAAAGATTATCAATAGTGACAGAAGAAGAACAAATATAAACATCAGAATTAACAAAGAAACATTTTCAGTTGGCTTCCTTGTGTCTTCAACGACTTTTTTGTCTATAGATACTACATAGTGTTCTAACAAAAATTTTCAGAAGATTTCGATTGGATTAAACTATCGAGTTTTTTTTCTAGAGATTGCAAATTTTCGTAAAAATTGTATTTGCGAATTTTGATCCGAAACTTTGCATATAGAGAATGCAATTAGACAAAATCTTATAAAAACAATTCAGAAGTTTTGAAGCAAGCCTCTTTGAGAAATAGACTATGCATTTAAGAAAGCTTTTATATCTTGAAGAACATTTGTTCAAAATTTGTCAATTATTTTTATGAAAACTATTCTAGCTGAGTTTTCTATATGCACGAAGTTTTAGATAAAAATTCGAAAATACGAGCTATCCAACAATTTAAGGCCTCTAGAAAAAAAAACTCGATAGCTTAATTAAATCCAAATCTTCTTATGATTTTTCTATAAATAAGAAATCTTTAAAATCGGAAGGAACCAGCTGAAGAGATACTCTTGTAAATACAGAACTAAAAAGAAAAACAACAAATAAATAAAATTTAATAGGACCGAAAACAATAGATTGACAGACGAAGAATGGCAACTAAACTGAAACAAAACATAAACAGTGAAACCAGTGCATCACTTTTAGATCATGTAAACCTAGAGTATAATATAAGCAGATCTACTTTCAGTGACAATCATCATAAAAAAAAAAGTAATCTAAACTTAGATCTAGGTCAGTAAGACCAAAGTCTTTGTTCTTTCAGCTATGATTTAGCACATGCGTTCATATACATTATAGCTCCTTTTTGTTTTTCGTTAATAAATCTTCTATTTTTGAAGTAGTGATTTCTTGTATTGATGTTAAGACAATGTAACGAAGACTAATTTCTGTTAGAGAATTATCTAACGAATGTTACGTGTGTGGAAGATCTGAATCTCTCTAGTTCAATAATATCTTTCTAGAGTCGTGTTTTACAAAATATATTATAAATAATGATTTTCTAAATGACCTACTTTGTTACATCTTTGTTAATTTGTGCTACTGTCTCAAATGTTTGTTTAGCTGGAAGACGAACCATCTGTTAAAATAAAAATAAACAACAAATGAACAACAGCAAAAAAAAATGATGAATAATAACTTACATCACGAATAGCCAATGGAAATTCTGGTTTATCAAGATTATCTAAACCTTGTTTTTCAATAGTGAAATAAAGTGAACGTACAACAGGATCAACAATAAAAGCATCATTTTTATGTTCAACAATTAATTTTTGTTTTAATTCAGGATATGTTGTTACTTTTTTCTCGTTAATTAAATCAATAGCATGTGTAAGTATTTTATTTAAAGCTTTATGATCTTTTTTTGTATCGAAATCATCAATTGATTTTGATATTTCATCTTCTAAACATTTTTTTAATTTATCTTGTCGAAATAATAATTTAGCACGTAATTCATCATTCATAGTTATTTTACGAGTAAAATCATGTTTTAATAAACTATTATCAACTTTTGATTCTGTTGTTAAATTTTCTTGTTGAATATTAGGTAATGTTGAATCTTTTGTTGTTACACTATCAATTAATTCACTACCTAAACCTGAACTAAGTGATGGATGTTGATTAAGATCTTCAATTGTTTGAGTTGTGCCAAATGTTGATGATGGATGCATATGAGATGAAATTATTGCTTCAAGACCACTGTCTGAACGAGATTGTGTTGTTGTTTCTTCTTGTTTTATTGATGATATGTACGCATCAGTTTTTGGTGGACTAGATAAATCAAGTTCCGGAATATGTAATGCTGGTGCTTTTATTTCAAATGATGGAACTTTTTTCGATTCAGTTTGGATATCCTACAATAAATATACAAAAAAATTTTCACAAATGTTCATTTAAGAAATATTCTATTTAATAAAATCTTATTCTTTATTTACTTTAATATCCATTTTTCTAGCCGAATTGAAGAATTATTTTTCTCAACTAAAAATTATTTTTCTTGTTCATATATTATCTCTCCTTGGTTTAGATAATATCTGTTACAAAGTATCAACAAGAAAGAAACCTTTGATAAGCTAATTCATAGTAACATAATGTCTTAGATAACATAAATACTGCTGAAAATGCCAAGCTCTTTATTCTATGTGTTCTTAGTTGTATCGAGGTCATGTCTTCCATTAGGGGATATCCTCGTAGAAAAATCCTTGCGTCAAGAGAAATAAAAGACTAGAAGCATTATATATGCTTATAAACTCCTGCTGTGTTTCTTTTATTTTCATGGCCTTCATATATAATTAAATGAGTGAAACTAGAGTGTTGATTATCACGTCATTAAGGTTAAACATACTTTGATTTCTTCTACTGATTGCTTTTCAATAGGAGTTGTTGTAGTAATTGATTCAGTTTTAATGTCTTCTATTACTGGTGCTTCGATAACAGTTGGTGGTGGAACATTAATTTGTTCGTCTAATTGTTTTTCAATAACGATTGATGAAACAGTAGGTGATGGAACATCAATTTTCTCTTCAATTTGTTTTTCTAAAACCAATGGTTGCACTAAAAGTTCTTCATCAGTTTTAACTTCAATTGAGCGAATAATATCAGTGTGTTGTACATGAACATCCTTTACTGCTGTTGTTGTGGTAGTGGTAGTAGGTAAAACACCTTCTGAACTTTTAACAACTGGTTGTGATAAAACAATTTCTTCATTAACAATTGGTTTTTTTGGTGCTTGTCGTTTTTTTTCATTTGTATGAATTGTTGGTAAACGAACTGATTCTGTTTGAGGTAATGTTAAATCAACGCTTGGTAAATCATTACTTGGTGCACGTAATGAACCTTTTGTTTTTAATGTTGAAGATATATTTGATGATGGATTAGGCATATTAACTTCTGGTAAATCAGTTTTAGGTGCAATAATAGTTTGTGTTTTATTTTTTTGTACATTTGATTTATTACCAAAACATGAACAAAGTGCAAGTGTTGATGATTTTTTTTTAATTTCAACTTTTGGTTCAATCTTTTGTTTCTCAGTAGATTTGATTGGTGATGTTGAAATTTCAATAGCTGGAACAATTTGTGATTTATCTGTTGGCAAATCATTTTCAAATGATGGTGGAGATAAACTTATATCTCTTGATAAAATTGGAATAGGTTCTGTTGAAGGTATTTGAAATGTAAAATCAGGAAGTTTTGGTATAATTTCATTATTTTCAGTTGTTTGTTTCTTAATTAAAAAAAAAGAAAAAAACAAAATTTAAAAAATAGAAATTCTTTATGTATAAAAATTTACATTAATTATTGTTGGTAATTCCGGTGGTTGTACAAAATGTGTATCCGTAATTGTATATTTTTGTTCAGTTGATAATAATTCTGGTTTAATTATGGTTTCAGTTTCATCCGAAGGTATTTTAGGTAATTCTGGAATTGTCTAAAAGACCAAAAGAAAAATTAATAAATCTCTACTTTATGATCTTACTGAATCTATTTCAATAGGAAAATTTTTTTCGTCAGTTTGAATTGCTAACGAATCATTAATAGGTGATGTTAATGCTAAATCATCTGTAACTGTTGGTAATTGTTCTATTTTATTATCATTTTTAAGATCAAGAGACAATGAAACTTGAGGTAAAGTTTCTTTTTCCGATTTGAAATGTATTTCAGGTAATTTAATATTTTCTTGTTCATTTAAATTTAATTGAAGATCAGGTAATTCAATATTTGGAACTTTTAATGGATCAATTGTTGTATCAATTGTTGATTTATCATTATCGGGTAAATTTAAATTAGGTACTGGTGGTAAATGAACAGCTGGTATTGAAAATTCTGATGATTGTTTTATTTGTCCACTTGTCATATCAACTTCAGGTCGATCATAATTTGGTAATGATACATTAGGTTTAGGTAAATCAATATTTGGTACATGTAATGGATCATTGTCATTTGTATGTATTTCATTTGTTCGTGTTAAATCTTGTTCAACTGATGGTAAATTAAGTGCTGGTGCTTTTGATTTACGATCACCATGACGAAACAATGTTGAAAATAGACCTGACTTTTTTTCAGTTTTAACTTTTGGTTCTTTAGGTTTTTTAGTTTTAGATTTTTTTGTTGGCAACGTATATGAACCTTTTTTAGTTGATTCATTTATGTCAACATTTGGCATTGTTTCTGGTTTTGTTGTTATTATTGATTCAATTTTTTGTTCTGTTGTTGATTCAATTTTTTGTTCTATTGTTGATTCAATTTTTGGTTCTATTGATGGAATAATATCATCAACAGGTTTTTTTATTTCGACTATTGGAATTTCAGGAGATATTTCACTTGTAAGAATCTTAAGAAAAAAAAATCAAATAAATAACATGCAATGAAAAAGTCTTGACAAATATGTTAAATCCTATTTGACTATATGAGTAAATAGGTCTAAAGAAATTCTTGCAGCTTGGAACGTTTTTATTTCTCAATTATGTTTAATAATAAAAATACATCAAAAGTTTTATCAATATTGACTTTGGTAAACTTTCTTTTGAATAGAGGCTTTTGCAAGAACAATCATTTTGAAAAGACATCAAACACAATATTCTGAAACCATGCCTTAACCTAGATTTTTTTGTAAGTTATTTGTTTGAAATATTTCACATTATAGGAACTTAGTAGAAAAAAAAATCAGAGAGAGCTATAAAAATCAAAGTATTAATTTACCTTTGAATAAATTATTAGAAAAAGGATTCTTTACAATACAAAAATTATCATTAAACATATATTTTCGTTTCATTCCTCATATAAAAAGTTTGATCTTGCGCGAACGTGAAGTTATAAGAACTTTTATGAAACACGATGTAAAAGGAATGTTGAGAATTAGGACAACGATATTTATCTATTCATCTAATGTCTCATTTATTTTTTTATCATCCATTGCTTATATATAACGTGAGAATAAGAAAAGAGATGATATCGAGACCAAGGATGGAGATAATCTAAACATGAAGACAGATACGATAACTTGATTAGTAATACGTGGTCACTATACAACGAAGGAGACGACAAGAGAAGGATAAAACGGCATGCAAACACATTCAACGAAACCCAGGAACATAAAATATAACAATACTTCACGAATCAACAGGGAGCATCACACTAGGAATCGTCACAAATCATGATAGACGCTATCGAGGGATGGTCACAGACACCTTAGGAACGTCCTTGCACTGTGTCACAAACTGCATATAAATAGCGTCTCGTTAAACTACTTCCTTATTGCATTTGTGGAGGATTAAGTAAAAGGATAGCGAAGAAGTGTGTCTTGGAATAGATAGAATAAAGCAATTTCCTTGTGATTAGCAACAAGAGCTACATTTTATTTCAGATTATAATCCCAACGGGATTGCGTTAATAGCTTTTCTACAGGTTTTTCGTTTTTCTTCCTTCTTAGATTGGTTCGATACAAAATTTAGCAATCGGATAATACTCTTTCTAACAAAGTGAAAAAAATTGATTGTTGTAGAAGTCCGTAATATTGTCTAATAGAAATTTAATATATGTGTAAAGACTTTTATATTGCATGCTAATTGAAAAATTAGAAAAATGAATTTTTACTTTCTCTTCTGTATTTATTGGACTAGTTTCAATTGTTGGTAATGGACTAGTCTCAGTTGTTGGGATTTGACTAGTTTCAAAAGTTGGTATTGCACTAGTTTCAATTGTTAGTGTTTCAGTTAAACGAGGAGTATCATATGTATTTGGTTCCGGTATTGAATATTGAGTTGGCGGCACAGGCTCGCTTGATGGTAATTGATAATGTGGTTCTTCAATTGGTACTAATTTTTCAATAGTTGCATCTAGGCGATCTTCTAATTTTGGAAGAGTCTGTAAAAAAAACAAGAATTTTTACAAGTTGAGTTTTCTTTTATTTATTTACCACAGTAGTTTCGTCTTGAATTTTATCGATTTCAACATTAGGTAAAGTAATTTGTTCGTCTGTTCTTGGTGGTAATACTGGTATTGGTATTGATTCAATCGTTGGTGTTGATAAGATAGCTGTTGTTTTTGGGATATCATCTTTTTTTTCTTGTTCAATTACTTTCTTCTGTTCAATAGGTGCTGGACGGGTTTCAGATGTTAATTCTTTTTTCTTTTTTTCAGCTGCTTTTGCACCAAAACATGATGCACATAAACCACCAGTTGATTTTTTAACTTTAGGTGTTTTTTCAGTTGTAGTTACTTCTTTTGTTTTTTTATGTTTTTCTTTTGTTATAGCTGATGTTGGTAATAGTTCTGGTTTAACTAGTTCAACTTTAGGTAAATCTACACCTGCACCATGTAAATTTATAATTGGCTTTGAAACAGTTGATTCATCAGTTTTTGTTAATGGAACAACAATTGATGTTTTTTCATATTGAACATCAATTGGTTCAATTGTTGCTGGTCGTGCTTCTAAATGTGCTATTGTTTTATGTTCAACAATTTCAGGTTGAACATGAATTGATTCAACTTTTGGTGTATGTACTTCAATAGGTTTTGTTTGAACATCTACAGATTGAATTGTTGGTTGTTGTACATCTAATTTTACAAGTGGTTTTTCTTCAATTATTTCCGATTGAATATTCATTGGTTCGATAGTTGGTAAACGTGCTTCTAAATTTACAATTGGTGTATGGTCAATTGCAGTTGATAGTAATTCTGTATTTTCAGGTGTGAGTGATCTTTCATATTCAATGGGTAATTTTGTCTAAATAAAATAAAAATAATCAATATAGAGTCTCATATTCGAGAGAGAAAAAACGTGTGAATAAAATCACTTCTTTTTTTAAAACTAATTACTGAATGTCGAAGGAAATTAGGAATAAATGTGCAGACGAATATGATCTACTCAAGGTAAACATATATACATATGTATATCAACTGGTTTCAAGGATGAATAAGCAATAGGTATGAAAAGGATATAACCGTGCAGAGAAGGTGAATAGATGCAAATAGATTTTTAATGTCTTCTTACAACAGGTAGAACGAATTGAGTATCGAAATCTTTTGGTTTATACGACATATCAAGGCCAGGTCGATCACGAAAAACATCAATATAAATACGTTTACCATCAGGTAAAATCGTATAATCAATTGTAGATTTTTCTTGAATAGGAATATTTATTTGTTGATTATTATCTAGAGTAATTGATGGTTTTATAATTGGTTGTTTATGTTGTTCTATTGATGCTTTTGCTTTTTTATTTCCAAAACAAGAAAGTAAACCAGTTGATTTACGTTTTTTCATATAAATAGGTGTTGTAACATTTGCTTTTGATGATATTTTTATTAAATCATGTTTTTTATCATCAAAATTTTCTTCTGTTTCTGGAACTGTTCCCGTTATGATCTCTTTTGAATATGTACTATTAGTTTGACCTATGCTCTGGAAAAATTTATTGATTTTTTCGTTTAATATATTTCTCTTACATTGATCTTATTATTAAAACAAAAAGAGATAAAAAAAAAAAACTTACTTTATCTGATGTATCAGATTGAACAGTTATTGGTTCATTTATTGCTTCAAATTCATTCTTAACTTTACTTGCTAAACTTTCATATGTTGCTGTTGTTACTGAATAGCCAGAATCGGATTGACTAAAATCATTGGTTGATGATTCTTTCATATCACCAGGTGGCATTAATGATCTTCCAATATTAAATTGTAAATTCGAATATTCATCTTTATTATTTAAAATAGCTTCAGTTAATGAGCGAAATTGTTTTTCAGTTAAATCAAATCTTGGTTCAAATGATTGTTGTAATTGATATATAAATGGTTGTGATAAATGAAATTTTTCAAATGAATTTGTTTCAGCAAGATTAAAATCAGTTAAATATTGACCTGAACGTTTAATACGTATTAAATTCCATGTTGATTCATCATCATATGATAATGGACGAAATAAATTTTTCATACGTTGAATTGTATCATTTGATAAACCTAATTTTGGATCATCGAGATGAATATATTCATAGGCTATTGCTTCAGCTAATGTTATTGGTCTATGTGGTGATATATCAGCAAGCATTTTTATTAATTGTTCTTCATTATAAATAGGTAAACGTTTCTTTATATTATCGGACATGTCGATATCTTTCGTGTGAACTAATGCTTGTTGTTTTTCGTGATCGTCGTCAACTACTAAAAATAGAATAAAAAAATGGTTTCTTCTTTTATTGTATTCATTTCTAAAAATGCATTATTCTGTTTTTTTTTTCTTTCGCTCTCTCTCTCTCTCTCTCCATCGTTTTTTATGTATATTTATACAAAAGAAACCAAGGGAGTTGTGCGACTAATGTTCTTCGTTCTATGTGGAGAGGCAAAAAAATGAAAGAATATGCAAGTGAAATTGAGACATTACTAGGCATCAAACATTGTTATGTGTGTAAAGGTGAAAGTAAGTACGTAAACGATCAAAACAGGTAAAATAATCAACGGCATCATAATTCAATTTTTTAACCTTCATTTTCAACGATTTTCGCAATCAATAACAATGAATTCAAATAATTATCCTAATGAAATACCTACCAATACTCCAAGCAAGAGAAAATATTGGAGTATATTTCATCGAATATTTAAAAATTTACACGCGACACCATTTATTTATACGGATGAACTCAAACAATACTCGATTAATGGGTGTTATATCAACAACAATAGACGAACAGTTATAACAAAGAAATAAAAAAAAAAGCGGAATATGTAGGACTATTATCTAATCTTGAACATATATTTGTACTGTATAATGTACTATATATACTTTTTATATGTGTGTATAAATACATCATATTCGTTCCTATGCTGAATATTGACATATATGAGTAGTAGGATGATGAACAAGGATCAATAGAATAGTGTGGTAAAGGCCGATTATTCACAAGCAATCGAATGCTCAAGAATAAAATCGTTGAACTTGTTTCTTTTTATTTATTTTTTTTTTTTTGTTGTGTAGTTCGAACTGATTAAAACTTACCAGAATTAGAATAACGTCCCGGCGGCATCCCATGGCACTTAGACAAAACGTACCGACGAAATCTCATAGTATCGATATATTGAACTGTCGATGAACGATCAATTTTTTTTCTATTCATATGTCCTTAAACAAACACCTATGTCTAGATGCCTATGTCACCAATGTGTGTGTGTGTGTGTGTCTATTGTTTGTCCAATCATCGATTCGAACTACGGCATGACCTCTCGCTCGTTTGTCAAATTGAATGTATGCAAAAAAAATCCTTTCCTTTTTTTTTTCTTCTCCACTATTCTTTTAGTCCTTATTGTTTTTTTACCTCGTGATATGATTAATTCATGATGATGATCTTCATCAACGTTTGTATTCAAGATAATTAAGATGATCGAATGTTCTTGTCTAATGGGTAACCATTTTTTTTTTTGTTCTTTCTCTATTCTATTTGCAAAAGGAAATGGTAGAACTATTAACCGCCAGTGATGGCAATCAGCCAACTAAATATTCAATGAGGCATAATGATGCAATCGCAAATAGTAAAAGAAAAAGAAATCCATTGGGTAGAGCTTATAGCGATTATCTCCTTGTTCTCTTTTTTTTTTCTCTGATTTATCTATACGATAAGAAAAAAAATGCTTATAGAAAGATCTTCTTTTGATATAGAGATGATGTTATACTAGGGTAAAAACAATCAACTCTTGACACCAAGGCTAATATATATGACAATGATCTAATCATAGACAGAAAAAAAATTAACCTTTTTCATCAGATTGTCCATGATGTTGTAAACGTTCGAGTGTATCTTCAATTGGTTTAGTAATAACACTAATATTTAGTTGATGATCTCGTTCATTAATATATGTTTGTACAATAGTTATATAATCAATATTTTCCGGAAGATTTTTAATATCTTTTTCATGATGTATTGTTGAAAATGTATTTAATAAATTTGATTGTTTAGTTGTAAATAAATCTTCATATGTTTTAATCATTGGATGTATAAATAAATTTGGTGATAATTGTTCTGAATATTCATTTTTTATTTGTTCAAAAAGATTATTCCATGATGAACAACGATCCTGTTGTAATAAATCAAGTATACGTGATGAAATTTTTCTTCCTTTTATATCTTGTTCATTTGTTGTAAATAATTTTGATGGTAAAAAAATTTTTAAATGTATATAATTAATTAATAAAGATTTTTTATCTTTAATTAATTTTTTAATATCATCCGATACTAATTTTTGACCTTGATTTTGAGATTCACTTTGAAGATTTGTTGATGTAAGTAATGCATTTGCTGTTGTACTTGATGCCTTCTTTTTTTGTTTTGATTTTTGTTCAATTATAGTTGCTGCTTTTTGTTTACGTTGTTCTTCATCATAATCATTTGTTGTATTACGTGTACATGAACATATATTAAGACTTGATTTTTTTTTCTTTGGTTTTGTTGAAATTCGTTTTTGTTCATCAACTGTTGTTGGCTGTTGTTTTTGTAATAATATTGATTGAGGAGATGATGATGAAGATATTGTTTCAATAACAGGACCACGTCCAACAGTTGTTGCATCAGCTAATGTTTGATCTTGTTTAGATTCTTGTTCATTATTATTAATTGTAGGTGAATGTTGTTTTATTGGACTATCAGATGGAAAATCACCTGATGTAACTATTTCATTTGATGGTTCATAATATTTTTCTTGTACATGTATTAAACGTGGTTGATCAATCCATGATGATGATGATGATGTTGTTGGTTGTGTATTATATGTTATTTGTGTTGATGATAATAATTTGTTAACATCATCAATACCTAATTCACGTTTAGCACGTTCAAGATCATGTTGATCATTAATTGTTATTGTTCGTGTTATTTCAGTAACTTCAGTTTTAACAACTTTTGTTATTTTATTATGTGTTTCAGGATCTTGTGCAATAGTTTTTTTAGTTTCAATTTTCTTTTTAACTTTACATTCAAGATCTTTATCTTCTTCAACAGTTGTTATAATTTCTTCAATCATACCTTCATCATCGGATTGAATATTTTCATTTTCATCTTCCGGATCACCACGATCAATACTTCGACCACCAATAAAACGTGCTTTTGCTTTATCAAGTTCATTGGTTGCAACTTGTTGAACAATTTCAATGGTTGGTTCCATAATATCTTTTGTTTGTTTTTTAGATTTTTTTTCATTTAATTTTAGTTCTTTATCATTTTCCATGATTCGTTCTTGATTTGTTAAATGATAAGATGATAATGGTACATTAACAGTAGATGTTTCTTCTGAGCGAGATTTATCAACGAGAATCCTAAAGAAAAGAAGAAAAAAAAAAAAATAACGTTTTGTTCTTTTGCACTTTTACACAAATGTCTGATGATACACGGTACCGATATTCTTTCTTTCTCTTTCTATATGTGTGTCTTTGTGAAACAAATTTCATTTGTAACCAATGATAGGTAATATTATTATTTTAATTTTTCTTAAGAATGTGATAATTTTTTTTTCTTTTTATCAAATATTTTGAATATATGTCGTAATATAAATTTATTGATTATTATTCATAGAATGCTCTTATTTTAGCGACATCTGTGTTTATATAGTAATAAATCAAGGTTATAGAAGAAAAGAAAAATGAAGAACTACATTTTTTATAGTTGTCATATGAAAAAAAGTATATACATTAAAATAGAGAATCAATCATGAAAAAACAATTGCTCTTTGTGATAATGTCAAGAGACTATTCTCTTTTGTATGAAATCAAATCACATTGGTTATATATCTATTCGTTTAGTAATACTCTTATTACCGGAAATAGTCAATTTTACTTTTCTTTCCGAACAGAAATCTCCGATTTTTTTTTTAATATTCAAGTATTATTTATATAAACATATCTTTCAAAGCCTAAAGGCTTATTCTAGCCAATACAATTGTTGACCAGCAATAAAGGAAAAAAATGGGCCAGGAAACGGCCTTTCTCTTTATTTTTGCCAAAAGGCATTTCGTCTTATATAGTAGGGCGACAATATCAATCATGCAGAAGAAAAACTTTTTATATGATTGATAACGGTTATGTGGCATAGACGCTTCATGTGTTCATTCTTCAAGAAATAAAAAAAAGAAGAGGGAAAGACAATACGTCTGTTGTGATACTATTCATTGTCTGACGATTCTATTTCAGTGCTGACAACACACAATTCTTTCCTTATATTACTTTGCTCTCTATTTTCTTCTTGAGTGGGTCCTTGTATATACACATACACACGCCTAAGCGCTCGCGCATCGAGTAAGTGAGTTTGAAATAAATGTGAAGCATTACACACGAATCATTCTTCTTCCTTGCGTATTCTTCGGCTCTCGAACTCCTAATTTGATTGACGAACAATACGTTATGCGTGTGAGCACGCATATGCGACGACCACAATACATATATGTATATATACATATATATATATAGTTCACTTTTCTTCTTATTCATTCATCGGATGAATAAAAACGCAATCAAGTTTATCATCATTAATTTTCTTACCGAAATCGTTTTTTTCGCAATACATAGGGCATTAACTGTTTATGAGTTTTCGGTGTTAGTAATAGTGTATAGGATCCATTTCTTTCAACAACAAGATCAACTCCTGTTAAGTGCATTCGTGTTGTTGAATTATTTGTATCGGTAACAATACCAATTGGTGATGTTTCATTGGATGTTGTGCCTGTTGTTGGTAATGGATTCAAAGGATTATTCATATTTAAATTTGTTGCTGCATTTGGTTCAGATAATGATGTTTGTACTAATAAACGAGCATTTGAACAACCCATTTTGCGTGTTTAGGAGTTGATGTATTTAAGAAAAAAATGTTTTTCTAATGACAATCATAAGACGTACACACATAAATAGCAAGTAAAAAAAAAAGAAAGGTGGCAGTAGTCCGTATTGCAGTCGTTATTCTATCTGCATTACACCGAGAACGAGAGAAAGAGAGCAAAAAACTCGTTCGCCAAGCGCTGGTGAGAAAAAGAGAAGAAAAAAAATGAAGAGAATAGTGAGCACAAGAGAGCAAGAAAGGAGCGAGCAAGCGAGGAAAACAATTTTCAAATGTCAAAGTTAGCAGCAACTGTAATAGTAGTGGGATCTTCTCTTTCTTTTTTTTTGTGTCGTTGTTAAAAAAAAAAAAAAGAAGAGGACGACTCACGAACAACGACCGACCGACCGACCGATGGCGACGAAAAACAGAAGGAAAGACGACGACAAAGAAGAAGCAACGGAAGAAGAGAATTCTTTCTCTCCTCTTCTCTTGTTTTACACATCATCACTTTTTTCTCGGGCATTTGTTCGCACTCAGTTTTCTTTTTTTTTTAGTTCGTACGGCAGGCGTTCTACTAGCATAACTAACTTGCATCCGCGTAAAAAATAGAAAAGAAAAAAGAGGACACAACGTCATCATCACTTTGATGTTCATTGATACGCTAGCTTTTCTACTTGGAATAGAAAAAAAGAAAGAACTGATAATAGAAAAATAGAATGACATTTAGTTTTCATCAACTAATCGACGCAAAATAGCTGCAAAAAAATTGATACACCTTGTTTTTTTCTTTTCTGTAATTATTTTATTTTTCATTTTTCTTAATAGCGGTAATGATGATGTGGTACAATCAATTGTGCGATTGAGTTACATGGTGCTCGCGGGTGGCGACGGACATTGCTTTTTTCACATTATGCCCACAGTAATTTGAGAACCCCCAAGTATGCCGAAAAAAACCAAGGGAGAAAATTAATTGTTGTTGTTGTTGTTCTTATGCAAATTGAAGGCAACATATTTTGGAATGATTACTCTTAGTTGTAATGTTAAACGAGATTTATTTTATCAATTGATGTATGTATAATGAACCATCTGCGTAGACATATAACAAGCAAGCAACAAATACAACAAGTGTCTATGTGTTGACAAATGTGTGCATACATTCGTCCTTGTCTAAGACATAAACATTGAATATCATAGAACCAATGATTTTCGAGTATCGGAATCGACAGAATTATATAATAGAAGTATCTAATGTTGTTTATCTCTCTCTCTCTCGTGTAAAAAAATAGAGAATATGATTGAAAGTAAGACATATAAACAGATTTTTATATTTGTATTCTTCGACATACGTAGACATATCACATCAAGATAAATGAATAGATAAAAAGATTTGTTGACAAATGAGGGTTTTCTTTTTTCGTCTCTTGTCAATAAATCAAGCTTTTTCAATGCTAACACTCTTAGATCAAATACCGTCAATGATGGTTGTAGAATTGATGATATAAGCATATAAAAATATATAAAACAATTGACATTTCTCATTTCTTTTTTTTTTTTTATTCTCTTATTCTCATTATTATAGGGAAGCGTATGTATGATTATATATGTAAGCGTTAGTGCGTGAGGTGTTGCCATCAATTGTCTGAGAACATGTCTGTCGTTGAATATACGTAAGCAATCAAAAAAAAAATTTTTCACATAAGAAATATTCTTAATTCTCTATTACTATGAAAGATGAAACGCAAAAGACACAACTTCTGTATACATTCAGTAGTTTTATCGAATTTCGATTAGCTTTTCGGGTTGCTCGTTAAATCTATTGACGTCGTATGTACAAGATTAATCTTTACTCTTTTTTTCTCCTATCTGCCCACCCTCCTATGTGGACACACATGCACACACACCCATTGCGGAAGTCAATTAGACTGTACACGAAAGCGTACACAAAAGAGAGCGAGAGAGAGAGAGGCATGTGGTGATTGTTGATGGCAAAGGTCAACTGCTGGTCACCTGGTTGATACCCCCTGTGTCGCATTTTTTTGTTCTCACAACCTATAGTGCAATATTACAATAGATATGGTCAAGTCAATAAGTGCGGTTGATGCTCTTAACAATATATAAAAAAATGGGATCATTTCAATCAGTGGCGTATATATATTGATATGAAGGGAGATTTCATTCAATTTATGTGTTGTCATCAAATGAAAAAGACAAAAAAAAAAAAAACCAAAGTCAAGTATATATACATCTAACTAACTTCGACACAAAAGGATATTTTCATCACACTTCAAATTTGAACACTTCATTTCTGTTTTCAAAGACGATCATTTCGTTTGAACTTAAAAAGAAACGCTTTTTTCTTTGCTTCTCTTTTTATTTGTGCTTGACAATGAACAGTATGTCCATTATTTTTATGCCATATTTGAATTAGACCTGGAAAAATATCGCCTGTGGACCTTGACAACAAATATTCTGATGGGTCACAGCTCGAATTGTTTAATTGTTAAAATATCCTCTCTATTGCTGACAAATGTCACTTTAGTTTCATCTCGACAGTTGTTCGCCCAAGATCACTAGTCTATATCCATTTTTCTCATGTATATTGAAAAAAAAAATGAATGCGCAGATGGTACCCCGTCGGACATTTCCTTTTGTCATCTTCAAAACGTGAAAAGAAGAAAACGGAACGGGAAATATATACAAGAAAATTTTTCGTAAAAAAAAAAAACTGACATTTTAAAAGAAACATTCCTACACCTATTCGAACAAAAAAAAAAACAACCTTCAGAACTTACTCGTTTACAGTGAAATAATCAACTAAGGAATAAAAAGAACATACACACACTTTTTATTCTTCTCTTCAAATGATTGTTTTTGAAGACATACGATGTGACGCAGATGGCACATTAAAAAAAATATATATGCGTAAATGTCGACTTACTCATCATGGATGACTAATTTCATAGAAGAGAATAAAAGTGCCGAAGAACATACTCAAGAGAATTTTCGAAAAAAAAAAACAAAAACGAACTATTAGATAGATTATAATATTTCCCAGTAGAATAGAAAGGATAAGATGAATGACAATCTTGATCTAACCCGCAAAATCAATACTTAGTTTATAGATATCACATTTATACAAGATGGTGATCTTACACAATGCTATATATATATATACATATATCAAATCTATATTGTATATCTTTTCTTTCACTACTAACACTAACATTACTAATGCACATTTTTTTGGCTTATTTTATCGAATAAATAAACATTCCTTTTTTTTTATCAACGATAAGGTCCAAGTGAATACAAAGCATTTTCTATTATGTTATGCACATGGACAGAAGAAAGAGAAGAAAAAGAAAAAGCCACAAAAATATATAAAGTGAAATATTATCTTACCTTCAATGTTTGTGTGAATTAAACTAGAAATATTTTCCAATGTAATCGATATCAAAGATGAGAAATGAATGAATCACAAAACTACTCTGTGGATGATTAAGTTAGATGTAAATGTGACAACAATGCGCAGAACGATATGAATGAATATATGAATGAATGAATAAGAAGGATAGAAAAGAAAGATACAAATCGTACGTATGTATATATGTACGCGATAGAGAAAAAACACCAAACGATAGATGGATGTATGTCACATTAACAGTGGCAATTGTTGTACAGTGCCCAACAAAAAAAAAAAGCGAGAGTCAAACGATCAACAGTAAAGAAAGAAGAAAAGTATAAGACGCGAGTATTAATATAACGTCATAACTTTTTTTTTCTCTCGTTTGTCTTACAATCAGTGAAGGTGATATGCTAGTACAAGCTGTCGATAGATTCTCACAGATCATACAAGCCTAATATCGTTTAAAATTATCTGGACAACGATCGATTGATCGAAGAAATTAATTGCAATATAAATCAATGCACTTGGACGAACACATACACATCTGGTGCTATTCATTGATTGAGTAGGTTTCTCATTACGTAACCAAACAATGTATCATCTTCAACAATACATATATATATATATTTATACTTTTAATAGTATAGGTCAAGCGAAAAGTACAGTTGCGGTTGATGACATTCCACTTAATATATCATTTAGACACTCAAATATTATTTATGCAAGCTACAATTCGATTAGACATATTCAAACTCATTTTTAAAATGAACTTTTAAGTTAGGATAAACACAAATACATTTCTATCTCTTTGATCTTCTATTGCACTTATATCTTAATCCATCGACGCGTGCTTATACATTGTTCGAAACAGAAATAACAATAGACAAAAATAATACTTACGGATATTCTTCTCGTATTTAGACTTTTGTTGTTTTTTTTATATTCGTCAATCGTAAATTGATGAATGGAATGATACGTTTGTCTTGTTCTAAAATAAACGAGACCAGAATATGATAGTGGCTCAAATAATAATGTGTGATTGATGAGACAAACGATAGAGGTCACTACTCTATATTTGATAGATACCTCTCGATGTTCGAATTTCAATGCTCGTGAGAAATACTTTATATGCATATGTATGTATATGTGCATGTATGTGTATGTATATGCCAATTTCTATTAATATTTTAACGAATAAAAATATGCGAGGTCGGCTATTGGCGTTTTTTCGTTCGTTTCTTCTAATCTTCAAGTAATTGTACCCGACAGGAGATAAAAATCAAACTCAATTGATGATTAACGACTTTGAAAAAAAAATGTGTCATAGTTTTTGATCTTCAATTTTGTTTTTCTAATTTATCGATTATCATCGCTACCATTAAAAATGTGACATATAAACAAGTGACAGATTTTCATCTAACGTCATTAGTGTTTGCAATATTCTTATTTTTTTTTTTTGTGTCTTACCTTATATTTTGCAAATAATGAATGCTTATTTGGGTGATGTGGTTTTTGTTATCGCTGTGGTTGTGTTGTGTCAAGGTATACCGAATGTTGGGTTTTGTTTTACTAGAACACCTTTATTGTATTGCAATGTTCTAATACTTATTTGTTCTGTTGAAAGAAATATATTGATGGATTCAATAATGAAGTTGAAAGTTATTAAAAGATGATTTTGTATATTCAAGGTTGTTTGTTATACTCCTTGAGAAAAATAGAATGCTTCTATTCGATGTAGTACAATATAAAAAATGTTGTAAACTTGAGAAAAAGAACAAGACAAAACGATCAATTGAAGTTTTATTCTAATTTATAGTTGTTGATTAATATCAAAGAAGATAAAAGAGCCAAGAATATGATAGGTTGAAGAAAAAAATCGACGTGTCAATTCGTGGCTGAAAAAAAAAGAGTTATAAAAAAATAAAAAGTAATGAGATGAGAGCAAGAAAAAAGAGGTAAAAAAAAGAAAAGAACGCAAACATTTTACAATCATTAACATATGTATACAAAAGGTGAAAAGCAAGCTAATATTGTACTTCATGGTTCACTGATTAATTTATAATAAATGCGAGAATATACGTATATTGGAAAATTGATTTTTCAACTGATCTTATGAATTAAAAATATTAACGAAACAAGAAGATTTATTGAAGAATATTAATAATAGTTTCTCGATATTTTTTATTTCATTAATTCTATTATCAAAATATAAACTCACCGTAAGAATGGCTGTACTTATTTTTTTCTTTATCTATGTATTTTTATACTGTTGGTAGCATATAATAGATATGACTGCGGAAGCGCATTGATCTTGTCCATTTATCTCCATTGTGTCTTCCGTATGTATGAATGTATGCGTGCAAAAGCTTCTTTGTAAGTGTATGTGTACATGTCAAATGATAATAGAAGAAGAGACCAAAAGAGAAGAAGAAGAAGTAGTAGTAGAATAAGAAGAAGAAGAAAAAGAGAGCAAGGAAGAATATTAATATCCCAATGACGTCGTTTGTTGTAGCCAATTTGCGTCAACGAATCTCACCATCACTACTACTATCGATAGAAAAAAGACATCATGTTGAGATAGGAGAGTCTATACATACAAATACACAAGAATAACATGTGTGTCTACGTGAGTAAAACGAATATGAGAAAAAGACAAATGAAGATATAGTCTAACATCATAATGATCGACTTTTGACATGTTTTTCTTTGTGATAAACAGGGAAATCTTAGGAAAATTTTGATGTTCGTTTATGCACTTATACGTATATTCAATATGTCATTAATTGATACCAGAAGCATTTAAAGACTATGTATTCTTGTTTGAATAAGAATCTCTACAATAATAGTCAATCACTTACTCTAGGGTATAGATTGTCTTGATAGGATGGGCATTGAATTGACTTCCGATTCTTTTTTTTTATTTCTTCAATGAGACAAGGAAAAGGGTGGTTATACGCCTAACATTTAACCTTCCTACTCATTTGAACCAATCGGCCTCATTGCCATTTCTTATCATCATCATATCATCACTTTGAACATCAATGTAAGTCAGTGTGAATGCTTCATTGATGAGAAATTATACAAGCTGAAAAGTTGCACAACATAACTAACTTACGATTCACCTTGACTTGACGTCATCAAAAAAAGAAGAACCTTCTTCATCATTCTTCTACTCTTATCGAATGTTACTATCTAGACTATTTCTCTTGCAGATATATTACCGTTAGTGAATTGATGGCGATGAATACATGTATATGTGTAGAAGCGTTATCTTGATAATAGCAGGAATTATCTTCGCAAATTAGCTCAACTCTCAGACACATACATAAGCAGACAAAAACAGGCAGGACAAACGGTATTGTAAATACAATTACTATCACCAGACCTTTTCTAAGCGATTGTAAGTGGATCAATCAGCAGCGGCAAATAGACAAACGTCTTATGCCATCACTATTGACCATCTTAAAGAAGAAACAACGAAAGATTTACTACTTCTCTATAGTTGACATTAACTAATGACAGCTATTATCTAAGCTTTTACTTGTTTTATGCTTACCTTTTTTTTCTACACAACATCTTTTAACATCATTCTAGGTCTCTTTTAACTTCTACTTTCTCGTTTTCTATTTTCTTATTTTGCAAGACAACGAAATTGATTAGATTGACTATAAACGAGAATACGTCTATATACAAATATAAGTGTATATGAGTATGTGTTAGTGGAGCGTAGGTTTTTTTCTGCCTTACTATTACTGCTTGCCATACTTCTTTTTGTCTTCCGCTTTTCAATCCTCTTTACGATTCAATTGTATACCAAAGATCTTCGATTATATAGACAAGCAAACAGGCAATACTCAAGGCTATGATTTGCCAATTGATGGTAAGAAACGAAGAGATGAAATATGACACGGCTTCTACTCCGTTGTCACTGAATCATCGTCAAACGATAACAGTAATATTTATATATATACATCTTTCAGTTTCTTCTTCCGAAAGCTTTATATATTAACGTCAGTCTAGTAATTTAAGACTGTTTTTTTCTTACTCTTTTTCTTGTCAATAAAAATCTTACTGAATGTCTATAATATCAACAACACATGCTGATATACGAGTAAAAATGCATCTTTTTAAATATCCATATATGTATATATGCTCTATGAAATTTTGATTAAAATAAAATAAAATAAAAACTGTTACGGTTGTCAAATAGAATAATATAAAAGAGAAAGAGAACGAAAAAAATGTCATTTTTTTCTAAGCATTTGATTAGTTAGATCAAGGAATGTTGCATGTTCACGCATTAAAAATATTTCATTTCCTATTTAGATGATCATATGACTATCACGCACATTTTTTCCCTTAAGTGTAAAGTCTGTCACTTTTCTTCTTAATGTACAAGACAACAGTATGATACATCATCTTCTATGTATTAGCAACTATTATTAATATAATTTAATATATTTCACAATGAATAATATAAGCAGTTGTTTTTCTAATTAACTTTAATTTACTATTCTCATTATTAATCACAACTATGCATATATACTACCTGTCGAATAGAAAACAAACGACTTCACACACTTTACCAAAGCAACGTAAAGAGAGAATGAGAAGGTGGCAGTTTGTTCTTGCTTTCTAGTTATTAAAGAAAAAGACGAGCAATAAGAGATGAGGCGTTTTTTTCCTCTCTCTCTCTCTCTCTCTCTCTTTCACCCCAGTATGTCTAGTATTTATCATTCATAATCATAATAAATATTCGACGTGTCTACTTCTTTTCTCTTGTAACCGCTACCAACCATGCTTCTTTTCCTATTAATTGTAGATTTTCTCTCTTTAGTCCGTTCGTCGTCTTCTATGTCGTTCTCCACATGCTACTTTCTGGTCGCTCGACAAGAAATTGTTTCCGCTCTAGTAACTTTCTCGACCTCTTTTCTCTTAATCCCTCTCGGTACAGACGTCTGTCTCTGACTAGAATCAGTGAAGAGAAAGAAGCTTGGAATGACTAACTTTCCGTTTCTTTGTTTTTTTACAGACACTTATAAATTATATCGAAAATTCATACCTTAGGGAAAAACTTCGTTTCTTTGTCAATCAATATGAATGGAAGAAAAGCACATCGCGCTATTATTCCTGTTTTGTTACTATTTATAATTGATGATCGAATTTGTAAACCTCAAGATCGAAGAAAAAAAATAAAAGAAAAAGAAAAGCACAGATTTTTCTTTATATATATATATATATTAACGAGGCTATTCGACTGAAGAGATGAAAAGAAGTAAGAAAAAAAATGTATGTTATTGATTGTGTAAAAGGTGACAGCTGCTGTATTGATCCAACAGAATAATTGCCTCATATACAGGCATCAGAATGATCGAAGTTTGATGAAGATTGTTGATAACTAGCTTGACTCATGCTATGTTTTATTGCATAATATAGAAGATGATACGTTGTTCAAGAATATGTTTGTTTATTTCTCAGCTCATACTATGTCTATTGGCAACATTTAAGAGAACAGATGGAAGAGGAGCAAGGGAATAAAGACACGAACAAAAATAATAAAGCACTCTATACAGAAAAGAAACCGTCTTGCCTTTCTGCTTTTATTATGGCGATGATGAACACTATCTTAACATCGTTGACCGGTTAGTTGACTCTTACTCTTTTGCTCGTTTCTTTTTTTTATACTACTGATGAAGAATAAAAAGATATAAAAAAAAGCTGAAGAAAAAGAAACCTTGGTGCATGAATGTCTAAAGATATGATAAAATAGATGAGTGCATAGTTCTCTTTCTTCTATATATATATAAAAAAGAATAAGTCTGAAAACGGAAGAAAAAAGAAAAACGGGGTAGCGATTTTCAAATTAGCTACAGCGGTGCATAGAAAATGAATATATATGAGTAAGAAAAGAGGAAAAAGGAAGTTGAGTGCCAGTAGAGCTTCTCTCATCAGAGTTCTTCCTCTCTGTTACACTCAAGTAATAATTCATCGAAGTTTTTTTGACAAAAAATAGAGAGAACAAATTTTTGCAAATGTTTGCTTGACTGAACATAAAAAAAATTGTTTAATAGGACTAAAACAGTTGTGACGGATTAGTCAATATCTATTATAAAAGACATAGTATATAGAATACAAAAATTACTTATGAAATTTTTTATTTATTGAAAAACAATAAGTTTTACCACCATTTTTCATATAAAATATTTTTTACATTCAATTCTTTTAAAACATTTTCTGTCCAATCAATAAATGGTGACGGACCACATATATAAGCAGTAACAGGTTTTTCAAGCCGTTGAATAGCTTGTTTTAAATCTGTTGTATTTATACGTCGATTATCTATCTGGATATCATCATTAATTTCTTTCGTAACAAAATAATTTGTTCGTAACATATTATCGTTTATCATTTGTTCACATGATAAATCGATACTATCACGAAATACAAGATCTTGTTTTGTAGCTGCTGTATAAAAAAATTCCACACGATGTGGAATTATTTGTGAGACATTTGAAGAATATAAATCGAGAATATGCCGAAGAATAGATACTATTGGATTAGCTCCAATACCAGCACAAATAAGAAGAATTGAATCATTATTTGTTGTTGAAGATTGATAAAAAAAATCGCCACCAGGTTTAATATGAACTTTCTCATTGATTTGACATTTATTAAACATATAATTTGTTGGTGGATAATCAGTTTCTCTAATTGCTAATTCAATAAGATTTGTTTTAGAATAATTTAATGGTGAATTACAAATTGAATATCCAGTTATAATCGATGTTATTGTTGGTGGAAGATAAAAGTCAAGAAACATACCAGATTGAAAATGAAATGTTTTCAATGGATCATTAATGGAGAGATAAAATTGTTTGATTGATGGAGAAAGGCTTTTAATCGTGTGAACAGTTGCTTCATAGATTGGATCTTCTTCATTAGTACCAAATGAATGCAGTCGATTTGATTGATCAGTAGAAGACATACGTAATGCTAATTTAATGATTAATGGTTTTGTTTTTTGGAAAAACAAACGAATCATAGAAATCTATAAAAGATAGAACATATATATTCTACTGTTTGTTTTGATTCTGTTTAGTGATCCAGAAAATTTTCAATCATCTTTTAAATAAACCGTGTCCATCAGCATATTCAAACAAGCTATGTCATAATAACACGATGATGATATAACAAGTGAAAGATCACTAAACATAATGTCAGAAAAATCATGATGAACAATTTGTCTTATTGCACACATGATAATAATCACTTTTCTCTTTCGTTGATTTCTAATGAGATAAATTGAAGAAATAATTAAATAATGTTGAAGTGAAAAAAGAAATAGGTTGTCGCATCATATCTATCGACACGACAGAAAAGATTTGTATGTAAAGATACTTGTCAACATATCGGTAAGTGGTGTTGAAATATTTAGATTATAAAGATAGATTAATTACAATCATGCGATTAGATTGATTGGTCAAATCACTTTTTTTTTCAATAGAAAGTTGACTCTCAGATAAAGAATATAAATAAATATTAATTTTTTAAACTTTAACATAGGAAGAAAAAAAGCAGAAATAATTAATTATTCAAATATTTTGCTATAAATAACCGAAAAATTTTATTTTTTTAATTATTAATTAAGTTATTTATATTGATGAAATGTATTATGTATGTCTAAATAAATGTAGAACATATTACAAAAATTTTCTATCGAAAGTCTCTAGTGTGAATGATTGGCATGATGTTAAGAAGATATTCTACGATTTAGTTGTTCCTAAGAAATTGTTGAAAACAAATAATTTTCTGTAGTGAACAACTTTATAGGCACGGATACAACAATGACGATTTTTTTTTTACATCAAAAACTGTAGACTTGCATTACTTAGAATCATCAACTGCACTACTTTTCAATCATATTTCATTAAATACGGCAATAATATCAGATAAACCAATCAAAATAGGCTAATATTGACGGTTCTTAGTACCGTATATGCACGATCTTTAGCGTAAAAAATTAGGATTTGGTGCATCTTTGTTTAGAACTTGCTGTTTATCATCTTTGGTATTATCAAATTGTAAATGTAGAAATCACACTAGCGCACAATTTTATGAGCTAGTTTTAGAATTTTTCATGACAATCCGATGAAACAACAGGTATCTATAGTTACGAAAAGTTAAGTTTCTAACATCATAATGCTTCCGAAATTTGTAAAACAAAAATCCTATTATGATTGCTTTCATAAGAAAAAGACGAAGGACGTAACATTTTTGAAGGATGTGTTATTTAAATATTAGTCTTCATAGAATGATTGTATAATAATTTAGATGAGAAAAAAACCAAACATTTCAAGCCGTAGAAGAAACTTTTTCAATTACGAACAGTCTACTATTTTCGAATAGATTTCGTGACTTTGGTTTTATATTATTATTTGTTTTTTTGATAACATGCTAGCAGTACAAATTTAATTAAAAAAAATTCAATACATTTTATGATATCTCAATTCGATAAAATCTCTTATCCTTGAATACTAATTAAATCTTTCCATCTGCCTATTCCTCAAGGCAAAACATAACTGATAAATAGATACAAGATGCTTTATTCAACAAAAGAGAAGGGCAAAAATATCTGCTACAAGATAATCAGGATATTGAATAAAATACAAGACAGTGAATAAACATTATTAATGCAATCCTTTCAACAAGGTTTATCAATAAATTTGGTAAATATACATACGTACACATATATTCTTTTTTCTTTCATAAGAATAAATAACAAATATCTGAACGATATATAAAACACCAATAAGAGACGAGAAATGTGTGGTTATAAATAAATATCATAGTCCACAATCCAAATGTCTACAGATAAAATTATCAAAGAATTTTTTTCAGTCTTATCATTTATTTTAATAGAATTTGGATTTTAATAGAAAAAAAAACGCAGCATGTATAATGATGACATTCTTTTAAAATTAACCGAAAATGAAAAAAAAAAATTTCATCCTAAATATTTCTAATTTCACCTAAATACTGAATATTCTTGTCATAACTTTTTAAAGTTGATTTCTTTGATTCTTTTTTTTCTTTCTATTCTACCGAACAATGCATACACACGCACACACAAAACCGAAGAAACAAGCAAAAGATACAGAGAAAATATAATAATAAATCAATGACAAAACACATAAAACATAATTATTAAACGTCTGTTGAACTTAAGGCTCGTATAGCTGATGTTGATGAGATTAATGGTTTAGTATTCTCGACATTTGTCATCGACATACTAGAAGTAAATTTTTTTAATTTTTCAATTTCTGTTGGTGATAAACTTAATGGTGATGAATTCCCATGATGAAGAATATTGTTCATATCAGTTAAAGATAATGATAACGTTGAATAACGTTTAATATGTTTAACAATATCTTTAACACGAATAGATTTTGCTCTTGATGCAGCTGATTCACCACGATGACTAAGAATATCTGTACGAGCGCCTTTATCAATTAATAATTGAACTATTTCTGGATGGTCACGATCAATACCCCAATGAAGTGCAGTCCAACCTTGCTTATCAGTTTTATTAACTGCACAATTTGATTCAAGTAAAACAAGGGCAACACTTGGATGATTATGAAAAGCAGCTAAAAAAAGTATTAAAAACAATTTTTTTTTTTTGCTTTTCTAAGAAAAACATTTATTTTAAAATTTAACATACCATACATTAATGGTGTAAAATGATCATGATCAGTTTTATTAACATCAGCTCCAGCTTCAATTAACATACAAGCTATTTCAGCTAAGATTGCTTCATTATCTGCTCCACCGTTATTTACTAATGATGATGATGATGATGAACTGAATCGTGGTGGTGATCGACTAAAATAAAATCATATTTTTGTTTATTTAATTTTTTTATACAAGTAGTTTTTTTATTTTTTTTTAATATACCATAATTCATGAAGTGCTGTACGACCTTGTTCAGTTTCAGCATCAATATCAGCACCGGCTTCTAATAATGTTAAAATAATATCCGGATTGCAAAAATAACATGCTTTCATTAATGGTGTCCAACCGAGTTTATCTAAGATATGTTAATTAATTATTAAAAAATAAGAAGAAAAAAAAAACAAATGTTCAATAGGCCAACCTCGAGCATTAACATCACTTCCAGCATGTAATAGCTTTTTAGCTATTTCTGTATAGCCACGTTGAGCAGCATGATGAAGTGGTGTCGCTTCTCGAGCATCTTTTATAGTTATTTTTGCATTATTTCGTAATAAAACTTCAACAACAAGATCGTGTCCATTCGCTGAAGCCTAGAATAAAAATAACGAATAAATATATGATAAATATATATATAAACATATATATTTATTACAATAAGTAACGGTGTTGATTGTGTTTCAAATGCAACCCAATTAACATTGATTGTATTAAGTGTTCGATCACTTTCTAGCATTTTTTCAATTAAATGTGCTTTACCCAAACCACAAAGATTGTAAAATCGTTCATTTCGACTATCAATATTACCCATTTTGTTCTATATAAACATTTATATATATATGTATATATATGAATGAGAGAAACATCATTATTCTTCTGGTGATAGAATAAGAATAAGAAGCATAAGAGTCACTTACGTAATTAGACAAGAGAAGAGCGAGCGAAAGAGAGATAACTTAAGAGTTTATATTTGCTTTCTCGATCTAGAGTGGTGATGATGATGATGACGAGGATGTTGTTGTTCAATACCGTTGACGTTGAATATTGTTAGTAGAAAAAAGAGTAAGATACTTGATGAACGTCATCATCATCAAATATGATGGAGGTTTTGTTATCTATAAACAAAGACGAATAGAAATCGTTATGTGATCATGAATATTACCTTGTGTCCTTGTTCAATCAAGAGGCAAAAAGAAACACGAAAGGAAAAAAATGAGAATAAGAGATATATGATCGCTTAGGGAATACGCATAGTTTTTTTTTCCTTTTTTATTTAGTGTTATTAGGGTGGCTTTTCATACGGTGTATCTTCGAAGTCATTTTTCTTCTTTTTTTTGTTTCTCTCTCTCTCTCTTTATCTATCTAATCAAATCGACCATTGCACATTTGGTAGATGTTTCTTTCAATCGAGGAGGAAAAATTCCAGAACTATTTCTTCTTTGTTTTATTACCAATATTTGTTTAAATACGGAAGTGATAAACGTAAAAATAACCTCGTCACAATGGATAGGAAACGCTTCAGGATATATTGTCATCACTTATGCTTACCTGAATATAATATGTAGCAAAAAAAAAAATCTTTAAATTAATAGGGCCAATTTAAGTCAATGCGAGAAGAAAAAAAACCGAGTGTATACGTCAAAACTTTTTTTTTCGTTCTCTGTTCGATAAGAATTTCAAAAAGTAATCACCAACCTTCACTCTTTCGCTTTTATTCTTTAGTTATATCAATCCCATCAGAAGACTCAAGGTAGTAATGTGCACAGAAGGCATATTCGCACCATCACATACGACATAAATCAAATATATACTCTAGCCATCTGCGGTAGAGGAGAGAAAAATAATAATAGTTGCTACCATCAGCGATGGTAGAAGCAGGAAAAGAGAACGACGACCTTTGCATGTCGTCGTCGGTGAGTCAACCAGTCAGACACTTCGTTGATTCAATCGATCGGAGAAAAAAGACTATTGTAGAAAGGACGAGAGAAAGAAGAAAATCGGTTTCACTAATATGTGTAGGCGTCAAGTTTTGATGATAGACTGCAACAGAGTATAGTACTCTTTTTTGTATGCTTCAACAGAACAACAACAACAACAACAGCAGCGACGAGAACGTTGATGATAATGATAATACTAACCACAGAAATAACGATCTTCTTAGATGATAATACTTGTTGAAATGTCTCTTTCTCTCTTTTTCTCTCGTCATTCACTTTCCGTTCATTCATTCATTTGATCTAATCGAATCGCATATAATCGATATCAATATTAGTTTGTCATCAGACATAACAGTCAAATGAAGAAAACGAGCAAGAAAAAAAAGAAAGCAAAGACAAACTTAATATTGACATTCTACAGAACAAGCAGATCGAGAATAAAAATATATATAATATAATGAGAAGCAAAATAGAAACCTACATTTACCTTGATTTTATTTTAATATTATGACTAATTTCAATACATGAAACGTATGGCCTTCTACTATAAGAGATAGTAGAATGTAAATAATAACAAGTATTTATACATATAAAAAAAACACTTCTCGATGAAAACTCCTGTTAACATCGATAACAGAACAAGTAACAGTAACAAAATGAGAACTATATTTGAAAACTTATCTTCATAGACTTGACTCAAATTTCCATTTCATACATGTGTCAAAACATTTTATCTTCGTCATGACTTTAACTAGAAACTTATTTTCAGTAATATCGTCAATTAAAATAAAGAAAAAAGAAAGACTTTCTACTATTGATGAAACACAGATAATTTCATTGTTATCTTAGATTGACAAGTTGGTAATCATGGATATTTTTTCCTAATGAAGATCCTTGAAGAAAATTACGATTTAAGTTTTGCAGATATGTCAACAATAATTTTCTTGGCATGTAGAAAAGCTAAAAAAAAAGAAGAAGATAACGAATCGACACCGGATACAAATTGACATTCGTATAGCATAGATAATCTATTCGTTTCCTTAACAGAAATAATAATTCTCGTCAACTAATCTAAAACAAAAAGAAAATTTAAATCTAATATCGATATAGAATCAAATAGATTTTATTTGAAAATATAAAAATGTAAAATCAAATAACAAATTTCAATTAAACAGATCATCTCATCTCTCTTCGTATTCAATTATTACCTTATTAATCAAATGATATTTATCTACGCAGTCATGTTCCCTTAGCCGAGATTCATCAACAAACATACATTACAAAGAAAAAACGAAATAGATCCAGAAACAGAAATTGGTTAATGGTAGAATTACTTTTTTGTTTTCTTTTTTTTTGTAAAATCTTAAACTACCATGAAAATCTGTCGCTGTACATCAACACAAAAAAGAAAAGAAAAAAAAACACAACAAGAACAAATACTTTTCTTTTTTTGTCCTAAAAAAAAAAAAAGTCCATTTGGAATGACTGAAAATAATTTATTTCCAAGCTTTTTTTGTTTGATGAATAGCAGCAAAACGTTTTGCTATAAATGAACCAACAACAAACGCTACAGTTGACCAACCAATAAACATAAAATCGAAATCATCTTTTAATTGATCAAATAAACGTGATGGAAAAACACGAGTAAAAAATAAATCTAAATTTAAAAAAAAAATTATTATACAAAAAAACTTTTATTTCTTATTATACCGTACCAAGACCATATGCAAATACAACAGATGTTGATTCAAGACCAGTAGCAACTGTATGAATACCACGTATATTATAAACATATTTATAATAATTAATGACGCTTTCAAAATTAACCATTATTTCTGGTGTATACATAATCAAACCTTCTTCTCTAAAATTATGTTTTTTATTTTATTACAAAAAATAAAATATATTTTTTAAAATTCTTTACCTATCCATTGGTGTTAAATCAAGTGGTCGTCGAGGATCAAATAATATCCAAGGTATTTCAATAAGCATTCCATTAGGTGCTGCCACTAGAAATTTATATCATCTATCCTTTCTGTTTACATCTTCTCTCCTGACTTACTAATTATATCTCTTGATGTTATGCCTTTTTCAGTTGTTGTTACTTGAATAGCATTGACGCCATATGGTAATATATAGGCTTTTGATTGTACAACTGGTTCAATAGGATCAAAAGATGAAAATGTTGAATAATTATATTGTGCTGGTCCTTCAAATAATGATGAACTAACAGCTTCATATCGACGATAACGTTGATTATAATATGTATACTAATAGAAAAAAATTTTTTTGTTTTTTTTTTTTTTCATTTATCATAATTTTTATTTAAACTCACGATAATCCAATTTTCAGCAAGAACTACATGTACTGGTGATTTAACACGTTTATGTGTATGAGAAAGCTTTAATGAACCAGTTACAGTATCCAATAAATAAATATTTACGAATGGAACTAAAAGAATAAAAAATAAATTTCATTTGTTTTTATTGGTCTTTTGAAAGTTAATAGACTGTAATGATCTAGTTATGAGTCAAAAGCACTCAGTTGACAAAAGAATTTCTCTAGATGTCAAATTGTTTTTTTCGGGAGAAACTATGTTTATTTGATGAGTGCTAGAAAGGAATAGAATAGGCTAGAATGGTTTAATTTTTCGAGCTTTCATTTTTGAGATATCGAAATTTTACTAGGTTATTTAGTAAAAAGGTGTGGTCAAGTGGAAAATTGACTTTTGAATTTCGATTTTAAACTTTGCACAAACAAAGTTCTTAATGACATTAGTTCATTGAGCTATTTGTAAATTTACTAGTACTTCAGATGCTGAGATATTGAATATTCGAAATTCTCTCATATATAAAAGCAACTTTGGTTTAGATAATTACATCTGCAGATAGGAAATATTTGTTGTACAACCAACTAATGTCATCAAGAGTTTTGTTTGTGCAAAGTTTGAAGTTGAAACTCGAAAAGGATTTTCCACATGACCTGAGGGGAGGTCACAGTTTTTTTCAATTGAAAAATTCAGTTAAATTTTGATATCTGCAGGGGTGTCCTGAGGTCGCCAAGATTGGGGGGACGATCATCTAGGAAGTTGATTCACAACTTTTCTAAAAGAGACTTGATTTTGGGGTGGGGGGTCGAGATTGTTTTGAGATTTAGTGAGCAAAACAAAACGAAAAAAAGTTGAAATTTTGCTGGGAAACAAAGAAAGTTTTACAACATTTGGGGTGGGACACCCCTGGATATCTCGAGAATGAAGGTTCGGAAGTAGTAAACCATTCTAGATTTGTCTATTACTCATTAATACTCGTCAAAAGCATAATGTCTCGGTCGAAAAGCTATTTGACACATGAAGATTCCTTCGGAAGATCATTTTTCTATTCAGTTAGACATGCATAAGTAAGGAATGTAGATCAACATTAAAAAGAAATTGTCTCTGTTTTTCTTCTGGCGAGAGAACATTCTGATGTGTCTATCTGCTTATGAGCTGCAACTTAGTGCTTCTTATTACTAATATGACCATTTTTTTTTCAAATTTCGATCTGAAACATTGCTCAAATAAAGACGCCGATTAGACCAGTTTACACAAAAAAGAGTTAAGATTTTTTTTTTTGACTAAGTCTTTCTGACACACGAAACGCTCAACTAATACATGTTGTATATACTATCTATGGAAACTAGCCTATACCTAAAAATTTTCATACTTCGAAAAGATTTAATCTGAAAGTACTGAAACTTTTCATGTAGGTTACTTTAATTGACGTCCTTATCTCATAGGTTGAAGTGAGCGTGGGCATGTATATTCCTCCAATAATTTAAAATAAATTCATTATTATCCACGAAGATGAATAACGTTTCTGCATAGACGACTGTAGGTTTTTGATCTACGAATTGAATATATACAAGTTTGTAGCGAAAGAATTTTTCTACTGACAATGTATGTATTACGAAGTTCTATTTCAAACCGATCGATAGTCAATAGGTAGCGCCATCTAAGAACTTAACTATGTACATACTATTAGATAGAGGAATTTTTGATCTACTATCCTACATACTTCTTGTTCTGAGGTCAAAAATCACTGTAAAACTTATAGTTGTCTATTATACTACTCATGTAACACGTTTTCTTATACATTATCCTTTACTCTCGGTATCTTGGCGTAATGTCTGATTTTAACAGATAATTTTTAATGAAAATGATTAGATTTACAAAAGATAAATATCTTCAAGTATGCTTGTCATGTCAAAGATTAAATTTTTATTTTTGTTGACGATCGAAAGACGTCTAAAATCAACGAATGATATAAGAAAAGATTTCTTTGTTAATTATCTTTTCGAGAAATTTAAATCTAAATTCATACCTTTTTGATAATCAATTCCTTCCGTAACAACAGCAATAAGATTTAGATTTGTATATTTATAAAGAACACTTCTATCACCAAGAACAATACCAGCAGAATGAACACGATCTTAATCAAAAAAAACAAAAATAAAATTTTCAAAATTATTCTTTTTTCTAAAAATCAAATAAAAAATAATTTGTAATCTACCTGAACTTGATCGAGTATGTATATTAATAACTTCTTCATTTTGAAATGACACACGCCATACTTCTTTTAAATTTGTTGACTAAATATATAAAATAAAAATGTTCTCAGATATTTTAATGTGCAAATATAAAGTTATTATCTTCAATAATTTCAATTCTGAATCGTCAAACTTGAAATACATCATCGAACATTTTTTTTCTTCTCTCAATTAGATTCGATCCTTATCACTTTCGAATACGAATCATTATTCTAATGACATTCAACTAAAATTTTTTACTTACACTTTGTTGTTCGTTTTCATTAATCGATAAATAATAACCAATAAATACTTGTTCATTTTTATCAAATAAATAAATATATATTGGAGTTTGTGTACTTAATGCTCGTGATAGTGGTACTGATGGATATGTATGTATCTATATAACAGGAAATTTTATTTTGTTTTTTATTTTTTTTTTTTTTTTTTGATGAAACAAACTTTATTATTTGTATCGACGAATAATAATACTTTACAAAATTCATCAACAATTTGTGTTGATAGAAAAACATGTTTTATACGATATGATAATGATGATGTACTTAATGTATTATCTAAATCTCCTGTATATGGATTAAATGTTTGTACATGTGTTTCATGTAAAGAATTCTAAATTAAAATTTATTAATTGAATAAAAATAAAAAAAAAAAAAATTTTTTTTTTTTTTTTCTTTTTACTCGATCACGATAAACAATTGATGCTAGTGGTTGATGTGTATAATGAGCAGCTGAACGAATATGAAATAAAGGTACTTGAACTGTATTGAAATGTTGAAATGGTGCAAAATTATTAAAATAATGTTTCCATAAAATACCACCACTTTGTGTTAAAATACCAAAAACCTTTCAATAAAAGAAAAAAAAAACAATCAATAAAGTGTTTTTTTTTAAATTAAATAAATAAATAATTACCTTTCCTACAGATGTAACAACAATAAGAATTTTATTTAAATTAAATTCATCACGAATTGTTGCAGCTTGTTTATCCATATAAGCACGATTTCGATTTCCATGTGTAAATAAATCCATTAAGCGTAAAAAGAAGCTCTAAAAAAGAATCCAAAATGAAATATAAAAATGATTTTAACGGAATTTTCTAATTAATATTTACAACTAATTGTGATAATTGTGTTGAAACTCGTCTTGTAAACATACTAAATACTCCTGTACCACCAAATTCTTCTTCAATACGCATTTGTCCAAGTGATAATGATAAATCAAATGTTTCAACAGATATTATTGAAGACAATGCTTCATCACGATGTAGAATTAATTCAGCTAATGACAAAAAAAAATGATTAAAATTTATTTTTTTCAAGAATATTGTTACGTATCCAAAAATAATACAATATGGTATCGCCTATCAGTTATGATTCTTCTGACTAAGGAATCGTTCTAACTGTTATCCACCGTTTGAGCTTACAAGCATAGTTTGCTAAGATTAGTGACAGTCGAAAAAGATCTGCCCTATAAACCTTTCAAAAGCAAGTTATGATCGTTTTACCGAATTTTTAACCCACTTTTAGATATATAGAGAAATATATAAAAAAAAAGAATTCTGTCGATGAATAGGTTTAATAACCAGTAGAATATTCTAAAAGTTGCAGCCTACCAAAGTGTTGTTATGTTGAGATATAAAATTTTCAAGAAATTCTCTTGTACAGTTCAGCAGTTTCAAAAAAAAACTGAAATCGAGAACCGAATCGGAACCATTTTTTCTCATTTTTAATAACCAAAGTCTTCGAATTTTATTCATTTGAAACAGACATGTAACAAAAAAAAACAGTTCACTTGAAAACTCAATACTTCGACAAAAAAAGACATTTTTGTCGACTGAAACTTTCGAGATATTTTAACAATCATTCGATCTATCTATGGGTGAAATTTCACGTTGAAAATTCATCAAAACGATTGTTATTAGACTGAAAAGGTCAATGAGGACGAATTATTTTTTAGACTTTTGCTAGTTTCACCAACGCATCCTCGTAGGTTGATTAAGAGCTCAAATGATAGACATTAATTCGGATGGTTCCCTCGTGAATAGTTCGATATCAAGAATAAAATGTCTTTCGGGAGATGCATCAACTTGAAAATCATCTGTACTTAAGACAAGATTATCTTTCTTATGATGTACATTTTGGATATTGTGAATTTATCATTTTTTTTCATACCTCCATTATCAGCTAATTTAATAACAAGTAAAGAACCATCTTGCATTCTGACGGTAACTAATTGTGTATGTTTAACAATTGAATATGCAATGTATTCAATTCCACCCATATTTTCTGGAAGTAAAATTGAATATGAACGTGTATTTGACAAAGTTTGTTCATTTATATTTGAAACATAAAAATTAAGTTTTTGTTCATTGGCTAATGCTTCAAGAATTTGTTGACCAGCAAGATTTTTTTCTGTAATAACACTATAAAAACCATTAGATTTTATTTGAATATTTAATTCATGAAATTCCCATTCTGTTGTTGATTCTTTTTTATTAAATTGATAAATTTTTGTTTCCAAATTTTCCATTTTTATTGATAAAATTGTATTTGTATTACTTTCATATAAAACACGTACTTGTTCGATTTTATTTGGAACTTTTAGATTACTAGTAATTATATTTGTATCATCCATCGTTGTGGGAATTGTAATTATTGAAAGTTCATTATTATTTGAACATACAATTAGATTATTCGTTGTTATACATTTACTATTTCAAAAAAAAAAAAAAATGAATAAAATTCATATTATGTTTTGGTTTTAGGAGTTATTCACATATTTACATGATGACTAGAGAGAAAAAAGAGATTACTAGATATGATGACATTATCATTAGTTATATGAAATCATGTTTTTCTTAAATTAAGAAAGTGCTAATGATACGATCTTTTGTGTGATAAAATGTAGAAATTTTGTTATGTATTTTGTGTATGTAATAATGTACAAGAGTGCTTGCTCAAACAATACACATTTCTTATTTAAATAGTATCATAGTTCTGAGGTTTACTCTTTGTTGTTCTTTTTTATGTTAGCTTTATTCCTATTTGAGAGTGCTCGATTCATATATTGATTTAGTCTATCTTATGTTACAACTTCTATTCCTAAATAAAACAAATAAATGGAAAAGAAAATTTAGAGATAAACTTTGCCTTTTCATACCAATTTCAAACTTCATAAGAACACACTTATAGAAGAGACTAAATAAAGTATTTACAAATTATTCTGATGACGTTATGAGAAAAAGTATCCAAAAATCAAGAAAAATTGATCATGTAACAAAGGTCTTAATGAGCTAGATACAAGAAAGAAGTCGTCTTTTCTTAAAACATAGTCCACTTATGGATCATTTATATAATTGAATTCAATAAATTATTAACATATCAATTAACAAGTATATTTCAAGTACCAATAATTGATGTATAAACAAACGTTCGGTAGCTTATTTAACAATTTGAAAAAACTTCAATTATTCCGAATTTACCAACATTTATTGTTTTTTTTTTCGTTGGAAAACCACAAACCTTCCAATATGAAGATATGCTTGTTTTATATGTGATGATGAATTAGCACTGGTAGTTGAAGAGAAGCGGTAAGAAAAATGATGATTGAAAAGAGGAATAGATTAGAATTAGCAAAAGAAATTGATGATTAAAGAGAAGAATTAGGTAAGAAAATTTTGCTAAATACAAAGAAAGGTTTTTCTAAACGATGACATTTTCTTTTTCTTCATTTTTCTTTATATCTATACCGTTCATCGTAGAAATGTTTTAGTTAATGGAAAAATTACATAAAACTTTCGAAAATAAAAATTTAGTATAAATACGCAACATCTTTTGACAATTTTATATTTTATTGGAAATTTGGCTCATGAGATTGGTCAGACTCAATCCGTCGAGTTCGGCATGTCGTAACATGTGAACAAGCTCTTAATGAAAAGTAAAAAATTTTTAAAAATCTTACTTTCGGCTATCATCAAAATTAAATGACCATGGCATTGATGAAGAAAATGATTGAGCACCATTTTGTTTTGAATAATAAGTTATTTGAAGTTGATTTATATTTGAATCAATACTTCCAACAATAACATGTTGTGATGTTGATAGAAGAAAAAGATTTTTTAAAGTTGATCTTTAAGAAAAAAAAAATATATATTAATTTTATATTAAGATTAAAATTAAATATTCACTTTGTTGGAAGTGTAATGGACCAGAGCATTTCACCATAGGATGATACACTCCATAGAAGATCATTACTTAGAATATGAATTGTACCTAAAAATAGAAATAAGATCATCAACGATAGATATCAATTATTTTGTTATCGACATATTCTGAGATATGAAATTAATTGTAAATTTATAATTTGACCTTTTACAATGAAACAAATCTTTCTTATCATCTGATTAGATTCGTTTAATAATGATTGCTATAACTATATAGAATGTGTTAAATGATGCATTTAGCGACAAAAGGAGAATTTTTTCAACTGGAAAAAATTGATTGTCATGTTTCAAAAACTAATTATCTGGAAATATTTAATCAAATTGTAATAATGTATTTTTGGTCTTAATGAATTGATCATATAAGAAAATTAAAGTTTTATTATTTAAAATTTTAAAATACTTTCTTAATAATTATTAAATTTCATTGTTTTCTATGTTTCAATAGTGCAATATAGGAAAAATAATATGCACTTAAACAATTAACTAATTAAACTGTATATAATAATCAACAAGGTTAATCAGAATTAATCAGAAATATTATGTTGATATGAATAATAAAAATGATAAAATTTTACCTGGGTCAAATCGATTTTTAATTACTTGACAATATTTAAAATTCGAATCTTGATTTGAATTAGTAGTTGATGTTGCTGCCAATTGCCATACTTCAAGACCATCAGCATATCTTAATGCACGTACACGTCTACCTTGTCCTGTAACAATAACACTTTCTTGATCATACCAAATAATTCGATCAATTTTTCCATATTCATTAGCTTCAAAAACTTTTCGCCATCCTAGAAAATAACATTCAATCACATTATGAGAAAATGAGTAATTCATATTATTTTCGTCACGCATCAAAGTCGATTTTTTCATATTCTTCACCCTCGCCACCTACGAACATTGAATATTCATAGATTATTCACTTATTTTCGTATATAAAAACTAAGCATCTATCAACGTTAATGATAGTTACAAAATAACGATAAAAACAAATATAACAAATCATCGATGGATCGAGTTGTTACAAAAACCGTGGATGCTTTAACACGATTTGGTGAGCGTATCGAACGACGTTTATCGACTGGTGATGATGATGAATGTGGTTATGAAAGATCGGGATCAGGTTATATGCGTTCGAATTCTGGATCAGCATTTCATCGACCATATGATGGCAAACATCATAAAGATTTTTATTCATCAAATCAACATGATTTATCTTATGGTTATGGAGGAAATTTTTTTGCGGATAATTTAGCTGCTAGTCCTGGAGCACATAGCAGCTTTAGTAATTATCGACAAGGTCCAATGGGTAATCCATATGCTGATGGTATGGTGAGACCACCTTATGGAGCTGGAATGGCTGGTTCTATGAATTATGGTTATGGAGGAGCCTACCCTGGTCCAGTACCACCTGTACCATATGGTGGTGTTCCTGGTAGTGTAGGATATGCTCCAGATTATTATATTGCTGAACGACGACACATTGATTTAGTTCCTGCTCCACCACCACGCTATATTCGACAACCAGTTCCTGTTCCTGTTCCCGTCGATCGTCCTGTACCTCAACCATATCCTGTTGAAGTACCTAGACCAGTACCGGTTGATCGACCTGTACCTGTGCCAGTTCCATCGCCGGTTCCTTTCGATCGACCAGTACCTGTTCCTGTACCAGTAGCAGTTCCTTCACCTCCAGTTCACGTCCCAGTTCCAGTTCCAGTTCCTTCACCAGTTCCATGCTATGTACCTGTTGGTGTTCCTGTTCCATCACCTCCTCCTAGTCCTGCTATGGTCGAAAATTCAGTTACTTATAGTCAACGTTGGCTTACTGGTTCACCTGTAATGATGAATCAACAACGTTATCTTGCTGGTTCACCAGTCATGGGCATGAATCCATGTGTTACACCTTATGGCAATGGTCCCTTTATGCGTTAAATAACATTTTGTTTTTTTTTTAATTGTAAAATGTTTTTCTCTGTACTCTTTTTCTTTATTAAAAAAATTAAATAACAGAAATAGATAATTACCAATTTTTCGTGCAGATAAATCGAGTGAAGCAATAACATTATCTTGACTGGAAACAATCAAACGATTTGTACTACCAGAAGGTTGATGAGAATCATCTATGAAACCAACATGTTGACGATGCCTAAAAAAACAAGTAGAAAATTAAAAAAAAATAAATTACAACTATCCCTATGAGAATTTCATAACAATCAAATTCTGAAATGTCGTCATAATTATCTTAACAATAAAAGAAAACGCTATTCCCTGTAGATGTTCTTTTCAATCAGTTTCTTAATCTAGCAACTGTTTCGAGTACATCGTGATTTTAAATAGATACTAACAATGCTAACATTTTATTTTCTCCTATTAGAAAAAGACTTATAAAATATAAATTTTGAAGGCGAATACACTAAATCTATTGTAATTCATATTCTATGTTATCACTTTCACTTCATTAAATTTACATGATTCTTAGTTATTATCGATTCTATAATAATATATCACGTATTTATGAACTGAAATTTTTATCCTAATCTATTTTTGACTATCTTTTTTTTTCTGATCTTCATTATTGTAAGAATGGCAAGGCAATGAAAGAGACTCATTAATGAATCATATTTCGTTATTTATAGAAAAAAACTATCAATATTCCATTTTGTTAAACGAAAAGAAGAAAAGATTTTCTTTTTTTTACTTACCAATCAAATTTGCCTACTTGATCTTCAAATAAACTGTTGACTCTATGTGGCACTAATATTATTGCCCAAATAAATATGACTAGAGAATTAATCAATAATTGCATCTAGAAGATTATTACTAAAATGTAAATGACAAAAAAAGAACAATCAATCTAGTTTTTTTTTTTCTATGAATTTTCTTTCTGCGATTTTATTTGTTTTAAATTCGAACAAAGTTCGCAAAAAAACCAACGATGGAACAAATTTCTTCTTTTTTTTTTTGTTTTTTTAATTCATATGTTGCTGTTATTATGTGCTTTTGCCTTTTGGTTTAATTTCTTTTACATTAAGACCAGGTGGCAATGATTGTTTGACTTTTTCAGCTTTTTCTTTATCGGTGACGATTACTAAAAAGATCAAGTATGAAAATAAATAAAATTACTAATTAATAAAAAGATCATTAATAAAACATACATGTATATAAGTAACGGCTGCATCGTACTTTGAATTTTGTATTTCCTTGTCGTGTACCATGTTCAGGATTACGTTTAATAATCACCGATTTAGCATCTTTACGTCGAGCAATGAGTAAGAAATCTTTGATATCTTTGATTTCTTTAGGCATGTTGATGGTTCAAATATGAGATGAATGGAAATTCTAAAAAATAAAATATAGATAAATTATTGATTCCTTTTCTAGTAATAATCAAACTAAAATATGGACAATTAAATAATAAACAAGTCGATATGATATCCATATTTAACCTAATAAAAAAAAGAAAACATTCAAATCTCATCAGAATAAACTATCTATTTATATAAAACGTTAAAGTTTCTTTTTTTTTTTGTCAAAAAATTTATTTTAAATTATTTTATTAAATAATTACTCAAAAAAAAATAATAAAATGGATAAATAACATGTCGCTAATGACATTAAATAATGATTCGTTCTCATAATAACGTTTAGTATTGCTGAATGACTCATGTCAATTAAATCAATCAAATCATATAGTTTTTTTTTTCTTGAAAAATAATCTTTTTTTTTTGTGTTTTAGACACGATGAAGATAAAAATGTTATGTCGAAATCCAACAGATTATGTCCGTGAAACAAAAAAGGATATAGTACCAATTCAACGAAATTATGATCCAGATCTTCATCCATTTGAAGTAGCACGTGAATATACTCGTGCAATGAATGCTGTAAAAATGGAACGTATATTTGCTCGACCATTCATATGTAGTTTAGATGGACATCGTGATAGTGTACAATGTTTAGCAAAACATTCAACACAACTTTCATTACTTCTATCCGGTTCATGTGATGGAGAAGTAATTTAATATAATAATAAAAAAAAACTTTGTTTTTGTTAAGTAGAAAACCTTTGATTTAGATTAAAATTTGGAATGTTGCTCAAAGAACATGTCAAGGAACAATACCAGCACATAATGGATTTGTTAGAGGTATATGTGTTATACCTGATGGTACTGCTTTTTATTCAGTTGGTAATGATAAATTAATCAAACGATGGTCAATGAATAATTATGATACACCAGCAATGATAATTGTTGGAAAAGTATATTGAAATATTGTGATTTTTAAATGAATGAATGAATCTGAGTTTCTTTCTAGCATGTATTTACATCAATTGATCATCATTATAAAAATGCACAATATGCTACTAGTGGTGAAAGTGTATCATTATGGGATGAACAACGTGCACAACCTCTTCAATCATTTAAATGGGGTGCTGATAGTCATGCTAGAGTAAAATTTAATCCAATTGAAGTACGTTGAAAATTATAAAAAAAGAAAACATTTTTATAGAGTTTTTAATGTCATTTGTGATACTTCTACAGTTTAGTCACATTGTTATATTCAATTAATAAGTTTCATGTAGCAATTTTAATAATAATGAAAATAATAATGTGAATAAATTGAAATAGTACCGTATATCGTAAATAAAAAAAAAATTACTGTTAACTAATTTTTTTGCTTTGATTTAGACTACTGTTCTTGCCAGTTGTGCTACCGATCGAAGTATAATTCTTTATGATACAAGACAATCTGTACCATTACGAAAAGTAAGAAGAATAAAAATATTTCTACTAATAAATGATTAAACTTTTTATTTTTGTTTCTAGATAATACTTCAAATGAATTCTAGCACACTTTCCTGGAATCCACTTGAAGCATTTGTATTCACAACAGCTAATGAAGATTATAAGTATATATTATTTTGTTAATTATTATAAATTTTTACTTATTTTTTAAATACTTTCTAGTTTGTACAGTTTTGATATTCGTTATCTACAACGACCATTCAATATTCATAAAGATCATGTAGCAGCTGTTATTGATGTTGACTATGCTCCAACAGGCAAAGAATTTGTTAGTGGTAGTTATGATAAAACTGTTCGTATTTTTGCTGCTGACAAAGGACATAGTCGGTATGTATAAAACTTTTAATTCTTCTCTGTATAGCTGTTTTTTTTATTTTATAATTTTCAGAGATATTTATCATACAAAACGTATGCAACATATCAGTTGTGTTCAATGGACATTAGATAATAAATATGTCATATCAGGTTCAGATGAAATGTGTTTAAGATTATGGAAAGCTAAAGCAAGTGAAAAACTTGGTGTGGTAAGTTATTTATTTGAACTTTATCTATATAAGAAAATAAATATATTGATCATTAGATACGAGATCGTGAAGCAGAAACACTTGAATATAATGATGCATTAAAAGAAAAATTTGCACATTTTCCAAAAGTAAAACGTATTGCTCAACAACGTCACTTACCGAAACATGTTTATCATGCTAATCGTGAACATAAAACAATACGTGAAAGTCAAAAACGTCATGAAGCTAATGCACGTGCTAATAGCAAACCTGGTTCAATACCATTTGTCTCAGAACGATCGAAAATTATTTTAAAAGAAGAAGAATAAAAGCTTCGTTTTGTTTTTTTTTGTTTTGTATTAACAAAAAGATAAATAAACATCTAAACAATTATTTTACCGAATTAATTATTTCGGCATTAAACCAATAGAAGTATAGACCCGTTAGTACATGAGAAGATTGATTCGATGAAATTACAAACAAATGTCAAAAGAGAAGAAAAAAAGTGACATTTGTCTTATGAAAATTGTCTGGTAGTCGATTGAACAAGAGTAGGCATAAGATGTCTAATACACAATAAGACTACTACGACAAGGATAAAATTTGATCATAATAGTATACGTTATGAAAAAAAAAAAACTTTATTTTCGGATTTGATACTTGAAATCTTCAATACTTTATTTACTTTAAGCATCTGTACTGCTCATTTAATAAGAGAAACTGTTGTGATCTTTATGATACGGTAGACTTTAGTCGAAGCAATTTTAAAATTTCATTACAATTCAGTGTTACATGATAGTTGGAAGTATCATCTATATATATATATATATTCATGTTACTCGCAAGTATTGTCATCGTCGTATTTTTTCAAATGTAATTAAAGAAAAAAAAAGAAATAATCATGTTTATTAATTTTAATCTTATACAAAAGAAAATAACAAATAAATTCTTTTGTTTGTTATTCAGTTTGTTCGTTATCTTTATCTTTATGTATTGCACTCCATACAAGAACAAATTCATCAGCCATATCATTAGTACCAGAATGTAGACTAGACATGCATATAAGTAACTTCGGATCATAAGTAAAATATTCGTGACAATGTAGTCCATTAAATGTAGTTGAATAAATATAATGTACGTCAACAAAACGTGCATGTTGAACCATAGCATGATCACGTAGAATACCAGTTATATAAGCATCACCAACACGTGTCACGGGATGTGGACGTTGTGCACTAGTACATAAATTATCACGACCAGCTTTTGTTAACAAATATCCAATACCAAATGTATATGGTGGATAATAAAAACCAGGATATTCTTCTTCTGTAACAAGATAACGTCCGTAACGATCAACACGTGATTTGTGTCTAAACCAACCATACATTATTGGTATTTCTGGTAATGATTCATTTTTCATAAATTCAGAAATAATACGAGTTAATAATGGTGTATTTAAATGAATATCTTCATCAACTTTAAATACATATTGTATATTTGAGCAATAATATTTACTCCAACATAATGTTGCTAATTCTTTATAAGATACAACAGGATAATTTTCTGGCATATTTATTTGTATAACATCTTATAATATAAAAAATTAAAAAAATTTTGAAATAAAGTTTTTTTTTTTTCTTTTAAAAATAGATCAAATTTACCATGATAAATTGTTTGTTCTAGTTCAATTTGTTTTAACATTCCATCATCAATACCAACTATAAATGTAAGACGTATTTCAATATCATTATAAGTTCTAGGAGCACCCCAAGTTGATCGAATGGCTTCGCGTATATGAACATTACTAGCACGTGATAATATTGCAATTAATAAAGTTTTCTTTGGATCAATATCAACACATGGATTAATATTTGGATTTTTATATTGAACACGTTGATGAACTTGATAAAATGGATGAAATCCATATGGATTATCATCGACTTCATCAGTTTCATAATTTTGTGATTGATTATTTAAAGTTTGATTAAGTATTGTTTCATGTAATGTTTTCGCAGGTGGTTCATATTTACAAAGTATGATACTAGCAATAAGTAATACGATAATAGTAGCTATTTTAAGATAATCAATTGCGATTAGTTTTGAACTTTGAATATATGAAAGGTTATTATGATGATACAGTTTTGTAGTAACATCTTTGCCAGTATCCAAATCATCTTGTTTACTAGAAAACGAATCGGAATTTTCCATGATGGCTTACTTTTCAATTCTATTATTATATTTATTGGATTAAAAGAGCATAAAATTATGCAAAATAAACAAAATTTATATGACGAATATTTTGCCGTTAATTTATATTTTATTTTTGTGAATCTTTTGTATTAATGATAAAAGCAAATTTTTATCAACGATTGAATTGTTTGAAAAATATGATATTGAAGTGTTGATATAAATTCAACTAATTTCTACCAACATTTGGCATTCATGTCAATTTAGAAGAAAATATAATTTCCTAATGATACATATGTAAATACAAACTTCTAAATATAAAAAATATTTTAAAAAGTCATTCAATATGTTTTATATTTTATAGTTACTCAATAACTGATCGATAGTGCAAGAATATGTAACTGTAAACTTACTTTGTGCTGTATTCACAGAATACAATAGGAAAAAGTCAAAGTAAAAAGTTATTTATTCAAGGTAACGGCAGATGCTTTTTCTCTCGTATACCTATACCGTTTGATCGTTGATATTATCTGATACAAAAAAGAGCAACGCATCAATGCATCACTCAATATGTAAAAATATGTATATATTTTTTTTTGTTTCTCTTCCTAATATGTAGGCATATTATTCGGTGATTTTTTTCCTTTTCTTTTTTCTTTCTGCCCAATAACATAACTGATACACTTAGTTTGATGAAGTTCATTATTATTGTTTTCAATATTGATAACCGATGACTTTTAATTATCGAAACATATGATATTTCTTTTTGTCTTGCTTTTGTTTGGTTGTCAAGTAAAAAAAAAAAAAAAAAAATGAAAAAGATGAAAGAAAATCTCGAATATCATATTTTTATGCACACGCAGAAATTCGAGATGCTAATGCTCTCTATAATACAAAAGAAAAATTTCGTCTCTACTTTTACAACAAAAGTCATTTTTTACTTATCGATTTTGTAAAAAAGATGCAACCAACATATTTATATACCTCTGAATTCGATAAAGAAATTCAATGGCGTTCAAAATTTTCCATCGTAATACCAATTATAATTGGGCTTTTACAAATGATTTTAACATTTGCTATAGTTGGTCTTGAAATAGCATCCGTAGTTATATCACCTGCTAACGGAACACTTTATGCTGGTTTTTGGCTATCGATTATATTCACTTTATCTTGGATAGCTATGTTTACATTAGGTGTTTAAGAGATCAGATCAAATCTTCTATGTTTAATTAATTAATTATTTTGTTTTTTTTTTCATATAGTTTGCTGTCATCGTTCACGTAAATGTGCCTTATATGTTTTTTTTATATCAATACTTTGTGCAGCTGCTGCTATAACTCTGATCGTTCTGGATGCTTTATTTATTGGAAACATAGGGAAATGTTTTTTTTCAAGAGCAATTTGTGATGATCTAAACGCATCTAATACTCCGCAATCAGGTATACCACTTGGAAGAAAAGTTCAAGTTTTAAAAGGTCAATTAGCTATGGCTGCTACATTATTAGCAACAGCACTCTTATATATGCTTCTTTTTATTTTGGCAAGTTTGGGTAGTCGAAGTGGAAAAAATCGTGTACTTATCGAAAATTCACAATTACCAGCACAAGTTACTCGTCAATATGGTAAACAATCACCATCACCAACATGGAAAGCAACTACAGTACCTGTTACGTATGAACCAAGTCAACTTGAATGTCCTCATTGTGGTACAATGATTAAATTAGCACAAAAGAAACGATAAATTTCAAATGAAGAAACTCACATAGAACATTCCATAGAATTTCAAAATGATTATAGCTTTTCTTGGGGTTTGCTAATAAAAAAAATCAATATGTTAATATGCACAGAAAGTTTCTTTCTTTTCAAAAACATAAAGCAAAAAAAAGACTAACTACAAAAAATAACCTGAATTGCTAGAATTTAAAAAGGAACACCAAAAATTATAGTTTAATGTTCGTCATTTTTTTGTATAACTATACTTGTCTGTTGTTTGATATTGTTGAATAGGTGATCGAATTATTGGCATTGGAGAATTTTGTTGTTGCATAACTATTAGAAACGAAAAAAACATTTAGTAATTGCATAAAAAATGAAATATACCAATATCACATGAGCCAAGCGTTGATAAGTTAAATTGAGACAAACAATTATCTGGTGCTATGGAAACACAAGAAATTAATTTGAAGATTAGAATTACTAACAAAATAAACCTTCATTTTTAAAATTTCGATTATTATTTAATCGAGTTGATAAGAAATACTGACGATGTGGTGTTAAAATATCATATTCTGAACATGAAATATGCTCTCAAAATTTAATTATTTTGAATTCTAATTATACTTACTAGGTTCTGAAATTCCTATAGACGTATATTGTCTTGATAATAATCGTTGATATTGTGATTTAATGATATCATATTGTTCATTAAGTTTTATTAATGTTTGTTGTAATCTACTTATAGTTATTTCATGTTCTTTACAAGATTGACATGATTTTATTATTTGGTTTTGATTATCAAGAAGTTGGTCTAATTTATCAGCCTTTTCTTTCATGGCAGTATATTCTCGATAAAAGAAAAAGGAGAGAGAAGTAATATATCCAGATAATATTCTATTAAATAAGCTTACCCATTTGAAGAATAACACAATCGTTTTCTTTATTTCTTAATTGAGCTTTACAGTTTATTAAGTTTTCAATAGTCTTTTGTAATAAATTTTGATATTCATCATCAGTATGATATTGTTTCTTCTTATTTCGTTTTTTCTTTTTTTCATCAATTGTTATATCATCTTCTTGTTTACGACGACACATACCATGATATTGAATAGTATTTTGTGCATATGGTAAAATATTTTTATGTATATCAATATTTCTTGGTAAATTTTCTTTATTTAAAAATATTTTATCAACCGAATCATAATCATCATATTCAATAAGTAAACGTTTATGAACATGATCATGTTCAAATTTTAGAATATAACCAAAATTTTTAAAATAAGTTTTTAATTTTTTTTCATCGAATTCTTTAGTTAATTTATTATAGACGAATATACTTGATACAGGCAAAAGACGTTCGATAAATGAGCATAATGCAGGTGGAAGTAATCGTTTAACAAATAATGAATAAAAATCAATTGAATGTGGTCGATGACGAAGAATAGCATTTACAGTATGATGTGATTCAAATGATATTAAAGCAAAACAACATGAATTTGTTGGACGATGACGATGAGATTCATAGTTTATTATACGAGAACCAAATTTGGAAAAATAAGATTGAATTGCTTTATCATCTAGTTCACAGATACCATCAACAAATAATTCATTTGTCATAATAGAAATAAACTTGAGTTGTTGTTTTTTTTTTGTGAAGTTTTTTTCTTTTTGAACTAACAAATATTCTATTAAATTGAAAAGATGACTTTTTTGTGTTATTTTAGATTGATATCTGAATGAATGATATGTAGAATACACAGCATATAGAAATAAGATGAAAATGATTTAGTCTAGTCACATTTCTAAAAGTAATCGAAATGGATCGTTCTGTTTAACAATAAAAAAAAAACTTAGTCACGTTGCTTAAAGATGAAGAAAGAAAGAGCACAACATTTTATCACGATTCAATAATAATTTTTTTTTACTTCTATTATGATGGTCTTTAGATTCATATAAACGATCTTTTATTTTCTTGTTGTTGTAAAAAAGTTAACTGATGAATAGATCAATACTTGTAGACAAACATAGACGTTGTATTTTTTGTGATTTGTGAAAAAACAAACAGCAAAAATACATTTGATTATCAATTATTTGTTCGAGTTGCAATTTTCTTCTCGGATAAATTCTATATGGTATACACAACTCGTCATTCACATTCAGTACTTTGTTTCCAGAAGCCAAACAGATTAATATATGATCAAAGCCATTAACGAACAGAGATATGACAATACAAGTAAAACATATACTGGCATGTACTATTATACTAACTCATGTACGATCATAACAAAACATGCATTTGTAAAGTAGATTTCATGCAATGGACTGTTCGTGGCAGTATGTGTCCTGTACTTACCAACACATGCAAGTTCCAGATTTCGAAGTTTTTCGAGGGTATATATCTTGATGGGGCAGTGTAAAAACGTACGAATAAATGAGAATATATGAGCTGTATGAGTGCTTTTTTATGCAGTACAGTATTATTCATTTCTCGAGTACAATATTTACCCGTACTCGCACACTTCTCTTAGTGAATATCATGCGTGTATCTGTAGAAAAACTACATATTCATTGAAAAATAGTGTTCCTTGGTTGACATTATAATATATATATATATATATATACATACATATATTGTTTGCTTTGTACACTAGATTTTAATTCTTAATACAAACAGCACCTATACTTTATTAAGATATAATAATGCGAAAGGAACGCTGAAAAATTTGATGATCAAAAATATTGGCAGCCAAGCAACAACGTCATTTTATTTTATCAGACAACGAAAAATTTATCAATAAATAAATTATGAAAACTACATATATATCAATTGATGAAATGTGTAAGATCACTTTCTAGTTATCCTCGTCTTGCCATAGTCTTGGATATCTCTTTGGCAGGTTTATATTTTTTTTGGTCAAGTTTAATAATTTAGAATTAATTTTATAGTTATTGTGAGTATTATATGATGCTCTTAGTCAATTTTCACTTCAGTCTTACAGAATTCAAACAACTAAAAATAAAAGCACGTAGATCCGACACCATCTGTGAGTCTATCTCTTCAAATTTAATTTCTTTGTAATTGGTTTTCAATTACATCTCATTCTTGGATTCATCAGTCTATATATATGGAGAGAAAATTGTAGAATAATATACTTGCATATTCTTTTCGTATTGATCAAGATACTCTCAAAAGTTTTATTATTTACGTTTCATTCAATATAATAATTAGCAAGAGTTATATAATTTACTAAAATTTTTTCTTTTCATATCCAATGAAGCTCTTTAGAGTTTTATATTTTTAATTTAGTTCAATCTATTTACAATTAATATGAGTGTTTTGCTTGATAAATATAGTTCCTTTTTACCTAATGTATATTGTTGTTTCTTTCATGAAGTAAAGAATATGTATGAGATTGAAGAATTTTATATACAAGTCACTGTATATAATTCAGTCGCAAAAGAAAATGTATTTCTTATAAAATACAAAAAAAGAAAGGATTTTAAGTCAGAATGTATTTTGTGTTTATTTTTATTTATCATGAAGCTCATTTATTTAAGTATACATGATAAGATGGATAGAAAAAGTATTGATGAGGATTTCTTGAAAGGATAATACAATACGAAATTCAACTTAAACTTATTATTATTTTAGTCATGATATTCATATAATCAATAAATGAATTGAAAAATAAAGTAAAGTAAATAACCGATCGTAAAGTTATATATGTAGTCATTAAATTGCATTTGGTGTTAGATATTTCATTAACAAAGAACTTAGACTTTATTTCTTTTAAGAATATTGAAGAATAAAACTCATTCTTCCTTATGATGATAAGTCATTTTCATTCATCACTTTTTGAATCTTTTCTATTCGACTGACAATGATGAATGATGAGTACATATTGATGTCTAAGATTACGAATAGACAAGTTTATCAGGTTTTTTTTTCTACTATTATAATAACTAGTCACAAGAAAAGAATCGAATTTTCGTTCTATGGTATATTTATCTTTGAATATAAAAACAGAGCACCAAAAAAAAAAATAAATGATTCTTTACTATTTACACGAAGTATATTGATGCACAGTATGATTCACATCATTGTTACATTAGTTGTTATGATGACTACTGTTAGTAGTCTTACTATGTTCAATGCTACAAATCTAATTAGAAATGAAGACAAAACAATAATGATGACTACAATAGAAGAAAAATCAACATCTTATAGAGGTTATTTATTCTTTGAAATTTATACAGCTGATGAACAAGGTGCTGGTACAGATTCAAATATATATGTTACTATTGTTGGAACAAAAACTAATTTGACTCGACAAGCATTAAGAAGTATTGGCCCATCAATGAATGCATTTGAACGAAATCAAGTGGATATATGTATGATATATACAAATGTGAAATTCGATAAAACCGATAATATTATACAAGGTATTGAACTTATAAATGATGGTAAATGGATTGGATCACGTAAGTCTATTGATCGCATTTGTTTATTTCAAAATTTCTTGTTTTATTGTTTGATATAGCTTGGAAACCAAGTTGTATCTATCTCAGTGGAGTAGATGGTGCTCAAACAAATGATCGATGGGTTATTTCAGGCAATCCTATTTTTATCTCTTTATTAGAACCAAATAAAGCAGTATGTTATGCATAGCATTCAGGATTTTTTCTTTCTTCATTACTTTTATTTGTCATTTTCATTATTCATTTTACACAAAAAAAAAGAAAAATAAATTTACTAATAAATAATTGATCGATGAATAATATAGAAAAATGATAGTAAAATCAGTGTTTCATCCAGTGCGTGGGCTGACAGAATGGCGCTCCGTCGGGAGTTGATAATTATTGTACCACATATTGTATCTGTGCTTTCAAAAATAGATGTTTACTCTTCTGGAATCATACTTAGAATCATTCGGAGTTTTTTTAACAGAACTGGACTGGTCAGTTGAAATTCTTCACTTAATCGGCAATAATCGGTGCTCTTAATGTATCAATTAAACAATCAGTTCTTTTGAGAGACATTCTATTACTTCAGGTCTTCGAAGACATACAATGTGAAACTCGTATAACTCTTGAAACATTTAATAGTAACAATTTCTATTTTAGTCTGACACATTTCATTTGTGCTAACATTAAGAACAAATAAAGACTTTTTTTAAACGCTTCATCAAGTAATTTACAGCAACTAATATCTCTACTATGCTTTGACTGGCTTTTTTCAATAATGATATGGATTCTTTATAATGGAGAAATCTGATCTATTGTGTTTTGAAATAATTATATATCACAGTTGAAAGGCGGTTCAATTCGTAAAAGGATGCTATTACTGGTAGAAAGATAGTATAATCGAAAATGTACAATTTTCATATTGGACGTTCTATTTTAAGATTGCTTTATATCAAAATAATTTTATAATTGCATGATGCTATTAGTATTTGGCAAGTTCTTGACAACCGAACGGACTTTTGTCTGACATTTTGTAATGAAAGCATGAACTGGATACTGTCAGCTATTAGGAGTTTATGAGAGTCGGTTAAAAATAGTAGAGAACGAAGCTTGAAATTTCAAGTTGAAAAGCCTTTAGTTTGAACCGAAATTAAATTACAATTCCTGGCTAGCTTTTCCTGGACATAATAAGGTCATTCAGCATGACCCGAAGCTCTCATCATACGATGTGAAAGCATTAGTTCAATATTTGAAGTTAGGATTTTGACGACGATTAGAATTTTTGGGTTGAAGACGTTCAGACTCATATTTCTTGATCATTGAGCCCAAGGAAAATTATTAAGAAGGATCAAAATGGGTCGATCTGATTCCAAGTATGCCCGAAGTTATAAACTACTCTTTTGAAAGAGAAAATCTGGCTAAAATATTGAGTGAACTTGTGCAAGAATGCATAGTATTTATATTTTGTTGAGAAAAATAAAACTGCTTTTTCAGTTGGGCATCAACTCATCGAGCATCAAATATTGATTAAAATATGAGTTGACCGATGTCGAATAAGAAATGAAAGAGCTTTTGAAGACAAATCATAAAGTGCAAAGATATATCTTTGAAAGATATTTGATCATTAAAATGAGCATAAAAGAAATAGTTTGATTAACAAACTTTTTTTTAGTTTAAACTCATATATCTTTACAACTGATGCTCTGTTGACAATTTTTTCTTGTAAATTATTCTAATGAGTGTAGCTATTCTTGACAATCGATGAACAATATAAGAAAAATTCAACAAATATGATGCCTTCTATTGTTAAAAGTTTTTTTAGGAAAAAAAGCAGAGTTACAGAAAGAGCATCAAGTAATGAGGAGTCTATCTATTTAAACAAATATGTATATCTAATCGTTAATATTTTCAAGGAAGACCCCTACTATTCAATTTTATCTGATTCCTTTTTTTAGACGAAAATATTACGTTTATTCTGATCAATTTGTCTCTTTTGACAAAAGTGTGAAAGCAGATAAAAAAAACAATTTTTTTTAGATCTATCACATTGAGCTTTAATTATAAAGAAAAAAGATTAATTTTTCTCTTGGCATGATCCTAGAAATTGCAAAAGAAGTCCATTATTGGCTTTTTCTTCATTACTACATACCATTGGGAAATTGTAGATGATGAAAGGAAAACACATGTATGTTCCAAAATGACATATATGGAAATAATTAGTTTCCACAGGAGACACTGTGATGCAAGTGTTTGATATCAAAACAACTTTTGCTCAAAATAAAAATCATTTCAATGGAGCAGTCTCTATCTAGAAGATGAAAATTGACAAAAAAAAAACTTGAAGAATCCAATTAACTCTAGATGAATTAAATAATTCGAAAAGTTTTACATCAAGTAAATGTGTGCATCTGTATAAAATTGTTTTGAAAGTATAATCACAACGACAGCTGAATTAATAACAACTGTAACTACAAACTTTAACTATTAGTTAAGTAATAAATATTTATACTATAAATATATTGCATTTCACGATATGATCAAATAAGCCATGATGATTCGACGGGAAATTCAATTGAAATAAACTCGTTTTGTTAATGATTGAATTCAACAGAAATCTCGTCTAATTAGTGTCAAAAGAGACAATGTCGACTTTTATTTTGAATGATGATATTATTCTAGTCTATCGTTAATAGCTTCGGAGTAAAAAATCATAACTGACAAACGTCGATTTATCTGATTTTTTTTCCACCTGTAAATAGATCGCCATAAGAGTAGGAAAAACCTGAAAGGATAAGGTTTTCTTCTCCGAAGTTACAGCAACTTTTATGAAATTTTTCACTTGTGATCAAAGTATTGACAGAGACATTTACTAATCGAATTTCAAACTGAAACTTTGTCCATATATGCATTTTAATGGTCATCAGGATGACATATGAACAAAATTTCAATGTGAAATTTGATCGCTAGATGCCTCTGTGAATACCGTCTCAAGTGGGAAAAACTCATAAAACTAACTATAACTTGGTAAAAAAAGGGCCTTGTCCTTTTAGGTTTTCACTAAGCATACCGCAGACTACTCAAGGGCAAAATAAATCAGTTCAATCAGTGTTTTTTACCTGTGAGTCTTCCCTCGTTCATGTCATAATTGATTCTAATATGAGTAACCTTCAGTGTTAATAATAAAAACTCGTATGTCTTGAATAAAATTTTAGCCTGAAGTATTACCTTTTACTTATCATATCATTTATACCTTGTATTTTTGTACTAATATAACCTTCAATGAGGACTTCAATTTTCCTTGGACAAACATTTGCTGCAATCGTCATCAAGTAAATCATTATATTTATTCGCGATGAACGCAAACAAAGCGAGAAAAAAGTTTTATGCCAAATTATTCGTTCTGTTCTTTCTTTTTTCCTATTTTTTTTATTACACGTGAGCATCAAATAGGTTCTTAAACGGGAAAAAAAACTGTTTTTTTCATTGCTGCATCGTGAAAAGAAAAAAAAAATGTCATAGGATGGTTAACTATTTAAACATAAGAAAAAGATCTTGAAAAACATATCGTAAAACTAATTTTCTTTTTCTATTATCAAACTTTTCATTTTTCACATATAGATATCAGAATTAAATATATTGAAATAAAAATTCAAATAGAAAATAAACTATGACAATACCAGTCGTCATTGTCGGCATTGTCGTCCTTTCAGTGACGATTGCTGTTTGTACACTTATTTTATTTGTAAGTAAAGTATTTGTGTAAGAAACAAAAGAATATTCATATTTTAAATATGGATTATGTTTTTTTTTATTTCTATTGTAGGCATTTTGTCTATGGCCGGTTATTCAAGAATTTCAAGAAGCTAAACGTTTGAAAGAAAAACAGAAATTGCAAATGGATTCCCACGGTTTTATTAATGTTAATAGTGAACGTATTTAATTATTTGAAAGCCATAATTTTTTTATTTATTGATAAATGATTATATATTTGTCATAATTAAATTCAATCTCACATTCAGTCATCTTTTATTTATTATAAAATCATTCAGTCTTTATACATGGAATAATAGAACAATATATGTTGATAATATATTGTTATGAAAGTTTTGATATGTTGTAAAGAAGTGAATTGAAAACCTAAGCATAGAAGATTTTTAAAGGTACAACGAAGTAATTTCGAATTTCTAAAAGACAAGTATGAATGTTTAAATATATAGTTTTTCAATTAATGCTCGATTCAACCCTTGAAAATATGACTGAAGTTTTCAAAGTTCGAACATGCAAACTTAGAAGACGTAAATTCCATGAGAAAAACATCACATAATAGTTGAGGATTATAAATTATAGATTGAATGAGGATATATGTTTTCGTTTTATTTTGTTAAAAAGACAGACCGTAAAGATTAAAGTGAAATCAATTTCAAAAATTGTTTATCGGTCTTGGAACTATTTTATTTAATTGTAATGAGAACTTTTGAAATTTTAGCAATAAAATTGCAATTCTATGTAAAATTATGTTTATTCATAGACGCTTAGCTTTCGAATAGTAGAAGAAATATTATATTCCTTGGATTTATAAAATTTCTTTTTGAATTATTTAAAAATAAAAAGAATTTAGCCTAGGTCAAGAAATACGAGGCGTTTTGTTGGTCGAAAAACTCGTGAAAATAGCAAGAATCCGATGACCGGTTCTATTCAGTCACGACCGGAATGAGAAAAATCCGGTCACCGGATTCTCACCTTCAGGCTCCTACCATTTTTCGAAGTTTTCCGGTCGGAAATGGCGTCTTTCCGGTGAAAATTCACGGATCTGAACGCCTGAAACATTGGCCTGGAAAGTAAAGCATTGCAAAGATTTATCTATCAGAAAATAGACAGTCTATTTATTGTTTAGCGAGAAACGCAAGGTTCCAACGATGCTTGTAAAATTAGTGTTATGAAACTACGAAAGATAATCTCAATTTCTCGTTCATATATTTGCCATATAAAAAAGAAAATTTTTTTTTTTATTCGGTATTATTCTCGATAAATAATCATACCTATTTCGTGTATACACATCTAAGATCGAATTTCGAAATATTATAAAATCTCATATAAAAAAAATCAACATTTTCAATGTCGAATATCCGTATTCTTTACTTTGCCTTTTAATCATTTTCAAATCAATATTAATTAAATAAATTTCTATATTTTATTATTTGAAATCAGAAAGAAAGAAATTTTTTTTCTAATAACAATAAACAAAAAAAGAAAAAAAAAACAAAATACTGTTCTCTTTATAAAATAATAATTATAAATAATCATCACTATACATAGGACTTTTGGTTGTTGTTATAGGTACATTTTGTCGATTGCCGAGAGATGTTTGTTCAATATTTGTTTTTTTCTGTTCTCGTTGAGAATTAAATGGTAAAATATAACGAAAACTATTTGATGGTGATACTGATCTTGCTGTTCGTTTTGGTCGACGAAATTCTCTGATTGATGGTTGTCCTTGTAAATCAATAATTGATACTGAATGTTTTCGTTTTGATAATGGATAAAAAATAGGATGTGTTCCATAAACTGGTTCATGTTCAACATCTTGTATAACTACAGATGATGAATTTCGTTCAGCGCTAATAACAAGAACAAGAAAAACAAATTAAGTTATTTTGATAATTTATAATAATATGATCTTATTATAAAAAGAAGAATATATTGAAGCAGAAAAACAAAATATAATTCATTAGCATTTTAAGCAGTAAAATGTGGCCAATCTTGTTGTGATAAACGTCGAACTCGTAATTCTGGTCGAACAATATTTTGTTGTTCAACTAATGTTAATGAAGGTAAAGATGATTGAAAATAATTATTTTCTTCTTGATTAGGAATATTAATTGCTTGTATAGTTGAATTATAAATTGGTTGATGAAAAGAATTTCTTGATCTGTTTATATATAAGCATAAGCTAATGTGTTAATTGATAAGCGTTTAAAATTATAAAAAAAAATTAAGCCTTACCGTCGTCGACAACATGCATAACAAATCAAACAGATTATTAACCAAATAGTTAGTATACCAATAACCAGAATCAAGATAATCCACCATTCAAGCTAAAAGAATGTATAAAAAGAGCTTTTGATTATACATTAATATTTTGATCAATTGTTTTACCCCATAAAATGGTCCAGAATCATAATAAAATGGTGAATTAGATGTTTGATTATTATTTATTATAATTTGATTAAAATTTCCTGGTATATAACGTGTGTAAACTAATGTTTGTAAACCTGTTTGATTGAATACTTGTGTATAAAGTCTCTCTGATGGTGGAGAATAATCACCAATATCAGCCGAACGTAAACCAATCATATAATCAATTTTAGTATAACCATTACTAAATGTATCAAAATCATTTTATTTACATATAAAATATCTCAAAAATCTCTATGGCAAAAAGAACATGTGAATAGTTCATTCATGATTCAAATAATTTTAATGTTTTTCAGATTTTCGATCAACATATCGTAATTTTATAATCAAAATGATTATAAAAATAATCATTAACAATTATCTATATTGTTCACCAAATATATAAGACAAACGTATTTTTAAATTGTTTTCTATCATACCAAGCATGGAAATCAAATCCAAATAGTGGTTTGAATAAACAAACAAGTTCTCTATCAAAATTTCATAGATCGACGATGAGAGAAAGATTTTCGCAAAACCAAGTACGGTTGTTTGCAGGACTTAGAAAGTTGTATGAAAATTAATTTTTAGGAGTACCATCTCGAAGAGTACAAAATCCTAAATAAAATAAGAGGCAGCTGCATTTCTTACGAATTTTCCTTAAAAAGTGATAATCATCACGAAAAATGAAAAAACGTTGCTTTGTTTTGTTATCTGTATCACTTATAACGTTTTAAACGAGGTCGTACGAATCGTGGCAAACTTTCACTTTATTCAAGATTTCGTGACTTTTAAGATGATACTCTTAAAAACAAATTTTCACAGTCTTCTAGAACTTGCGCACAATCTTATTTGATTTTTGAGAAACTTTTCTTCGATGGTTCACCTATGAAGTTTGATAGAGAATTTGATTGACGATTGAAACACTACTTCGATTTGATTTCAATGCTTGATATCATAGAAACAAATAAAAAATACATTAGTTGTATAACTTTGATCAGTAATGTATGACATTGGTTAAAACCATATTAAATGAATATTCTATTAGTCTCTTCACATTTTTCGAGAGAGCAAAACTACTGTGAAAGAAGTCTTAGATTTAGGAAGCCTTCAACCTATATACTCTTCTAGGAAGCATTCCTCTGTATCTTTAAAGTGATTTCTTAAGAATAGTCATTAAAGATGAAGATATAGAAATTCAGAATGTATGGAAAATTATAGCAGGATCAAGAATTTCACTTATTTTGAAGTGTTGTTCAACAACATTATGACGATGAATGATCGAATTGTGTACAATCAGACAGTAGAGTTCAAAAAGATATTTCTCTTAAATTATGTTTTTTCATCGACACTTTCATCGAACTTTTCCGATTGTTACATATTCTTTGGTTCTTCCACAGAATTGTGAAGCATGAAAATGTCAGTTCATTTTGTCTACACTCACGCGCTTGCAATGCCCTCCATGACTAGGAAAAAGCTTTTATTTAAATCAAGTAGTTAATAAACAATGTGTCTATTAAAGATCTCAAATGTGGCCAATCATTTGAACTATTAGGGGACTATTCAGATAGTTTTATCTTTGTAAAATTTTTAATATATATTTACTTTAATAGAACAGAATTAATTGATGGAATAAAAACATCATTTGGTGAAAATAGATTACCATTAGCTAATGACCAACTTATTCTTAATGCTTGATTTATCATTGATAATGTTGTTGAACTTGTTAAATTCATTTTATTTCCATCAATATAAATGGAAAATTTTTTATATGGAATATCTGTATAAATATTGGATAATAAAATTGAATTTAGTAATGGTTGTGTAACCAATAATGAAGATAAATCGGAACCATTTAGATTAATTGTATAAGTTAAACGTGTTAATGTTTGACTGAAATATATAAAAAAAAATTTCTTACTAGTTGTATTTAAAATAAATACAGTTACTTATTAATAGTTAAATATGATGAATCAAAATAAAATTCTGGTGAAACACTAATTTGTAAATTATCTATATAAATGAAAATATTAATAAATATCAGATCAGAAAAAAAAACACAAATGAATTTACTATTGGATTGACGCCATGCATTTTCTAATGCCGAACGAATTAAATCATTTGATGGGCGTGGTTCAATTAGATATAGCCAATGTGCTTGATAAGGAACACAATGACTTGTCTGAAAAAACAAAAAGAAAATCTCTTTAAAAGTTATCTGTTTTTTGAAGATATTACATTAACATATTTTCCATAAAGTTGTTCAAATGCAGAATTTGATGGTGGAATTAAATTATTCACATCAACATTTGATGATAGACTTTGAACAATATAATCAACTCTTACTGATTTTCGTCTGAGAACGAAAAGACGAAATTTTTTTTTGTTTTTTCTTCATAAAAATCTGTTTTTCTTACCCTCCAGAGCAAATGTATTGTATTTGATTTTGTAACTCAATAAATAAAACTCCTGGTGGAATGCCTAAATTTTGATTTGTCCAAATTTGTGCTAGACCATTAGCAAGTGCAATTGGTTGAGCAACAAAAACATTTCGTTCAAGATATATACTATAAATTCCGCCTGTTCCATTAATAGTATTTGTCACACCGGGATAATATAAGAAAAAATCACATCGACTTAATATTTGTGTACCATTAAGAAACTTAAGAAAATGAAATTTTTTTTTACAGAACAAAAGACATTTGTAATTCTCTTTTTTTACCACAAGATAAAAACGAGTTTGATTAGCATGTAGAGGTTCTGCGT